TCTGAAGAGATCTGTTTATACAATAAGGTTGGTAAGCAGCATTTCCAGCTTTATCCGTTTCATTATGTCTCTGTATGTGGGATGGGGAAGGGGAGGCATATAGAAATCGCTGTAAAGGTAGTGTATCAGTGATATTTCCTACATTGATCAGGTAATATAGAGAGGTAGAGTATCAGTGATATTTCCTACATTGATCAGGTAGTATAGAGAGGTAGAGTATCAGTGATATTTCCTACATTGATCAGGTAATATAGAGAGGTAGTGTAACAGTGATATTTCCTACATTGATCAGGTAATATAGAGAGGTAGTGTATCAGTGCTATTTCCTACATTGATCAGGTAATATAGAGAGGTAGTGTAACAGTGATATTTCCTATCAGGTAATATAGAGAGGTAGTGTATCAGTGCTATTTCCTACATTGATCAGGTAATATAGAGAGGTAGTGTAACAGTGATATTTCCTACATTGATCAGGTAATATAGAGAGGTAGCGTATCAGTGCTATTTCTTACATTGATCAGGTAATATAGAGAGGTAGTGTATCAGTGATGTTTCATACATTGATCAGGTAATGTAGGTGAGATAGTACAATGTATATAAGAAATGTAAACTACCTTGTTCAGGTAATATTGGAGAGATAGTCTGTCAGTAATATTTTCTACTTTAATCAGGCAACGTTGATAGTAAACTGTTTCATTGCTCTATATTTAAATTTCCTATCTACATTAATCAGGAAGTTTTATTACTTTATATAAATGTTACTGTGTAATACTAATGATCATTTTGATTAAAGATCTAATTTTCCAAGCTACATAAACCAATCGTAACGATCAGTGGTAATGAGTGTGACGTCATTCAATGATGGTTTTAGTGTATACACCTTTTTATAACTTGACATATTTCTGCCAAACTGTCCTCTGAGATCCAATTGTTCATGTCCCTTTCATCACGGAGGTTTCCTAAACAACAGTATAATGAAGTTTGGCGGTTTTTTTTTTTTTTTTTTTGCTATACCATATCTAATGATAAGATTCTACAGCTATCCACCTGTGTGTCATTTTGATCAAATATTTGACATTGTGATTTAGTTACTGCTAAGTTAATAACATATGTAAGGTTTCTTACCTTTCACCGGGTTATTTTCTGTTTCTCCAGTAATCAAAAAAATGTCCGTCTTGTTTTTGACAAATCGCCCAGATTGATTTTTTTTCTTGGATTAGTCAGTGTCAGAGATATCTATTTACACGTTTTTTATTTACACCAGGACAACTTGGGGATCCAGTTGGTTCATTCTACAGCGACCCTTAATATCTGTCTGTTACTATCAGAAATTCTCCATCCCTTAACTCATTCAAGAATAATGTTAAAAAATCCATACTAATAGATACTAATATCTGTAAAACTTTTGTAAATCATGGTCCTAGGAAACTAAGTATTCTTCATTGTAGACTCAGAAATCGAGCAAGTCCCCTAAATTATGACCTTTTTAGAGCCAATTTATTAGCTAGTGCTGAGTGCCGTTGTGGGCATCCCTGTGAAGATTCCTATCACTTCTTTCTAATCTGTCCTGTTTATTTTCTGCGTCGATCTCTATTAACAGAACTAGCATGGTTTGAAGGTAATATTACAATAGATCTTCTATGCAAAGGTGACCCGAATATATCTGATGTTAACAATGCAAAAATTGAAAGGCTGCACAGCATTTCCTCAACAGGTCGGGTAGGTTAGACTGATATATAATTATACTTCTATATACAAAATAAGGAGTTTCTCTCTCTCTCCTCCCCCTCTTATTTTCTGTCTCCCCCACCTCTCTCCCTCTACCTCTCGCCTCTCTCTCTCCCTCTCTCTCATTATCAATATTATAACTTAAGTGGCTATTCAATTAGTTTTTTTTCATCTCTTGTGTATGATACGCATTCATTTATATATGCCACCATGTGACTTGTTTTTGTACTATATTGTATATATATTGTTGGGAGAAGTCGTCTATAAGTTGGCAAAACTTACTGACCAATCCCTTTGACTTTTCTTTGTCAATAAAATATGTTTAAACTAAATCTGTCTGTTTTGTTTGGTGGCAATAATGACAAACTTGGCCTCTCTTGGCCGACATTAATGTCGAAGAACTTTTAAGAATAGGTAATATTTCCAATACATTTTTAATACATTAAAATACATTTTATGATATACTGACTTTGAATTTCCTTCTTTACTTTTGTAGAAAGTGGCATTTGTACGATAAATGTGTTTTCAAGTTCTTTATTTTGAAGTTCCAATTCCTCGTTTGTAATACCTTCACATCCCACACCGACGGTGTTGGTAGCTGATATGATATTGAAGTTTTCAAGAAAGGGACGGACAGACCCTTCACTCTTCATGTAATGTAGTGTACTGCATTTGTCTTATATTTTCATATGTTATCATAATTGATTCGATAACTCGACAATGACATAATTTATTCTGATATTTTTTCTCTCACCTATGTCATTGTATTTTCATATCTATATATGATATCGCCTCCTCTCCTGCTGAATTGGAACCAACATCTGTTTTGTTTTAAACAAATTGTACATTGTGTTTTGTATTGTTCTGTGTTTGGTTAAGAAATGTTGTGTCACCAACAATTGTCATGAACATGAAAATGTCGATATAACCCAACACGAACGATTTGAAGTCTCAATGTATCGAAGTTTGCTTTGCTAGAACTTCGACAAATCGAAGTTTGTTTTGCTAGAAATTCGACAAATCGATGTTTGATTAATGTAGTTATATGCTTTATTTCTACGATGGGAAAATATTCTGGTTTTTATTAATATGACCATTTTCTTCAGTAATATAAAGTTTCATTTGTTTTATATTCATTAATAATGTATAGTGGGTAATATTCGCGGCGGATTTACTTTCGCTGAATGACGAAATAAAAAATACATCATACGGATCGACACTGATTCAAATTCCCATAAATGATTTCATATGTCTGTATACTACGGTTAAATTGATGAAAGGCACGAATCTGAATGCTCATAAAACAGTTCATACCACAACAACTGCGAAATTAGCTTCAAGGTAGGTCTGATGGTGTCGCTTTTACAAAGAACATGCTTACCTTTTTGGAACATCTGCATATTTGAATAAACTCCTTGTCAATCTTGTGTTTGTTCGTGTTTACTTCTCCTGTTTCTGATCTTAAATAATATATTCCTTATTCGTTGAAATAAACATACCAAGCGTGCTTTCACCAGAAAACTTTAACAGTACCAGTTTTATAGTCCTCATACTTTGACAAGCTTACCAGTTGGGAACAATTTACGTATGTTTATATATCTGACTTTTCCAAGGTACTCAAAACTCAATTTAAAGTATGTATTGTCGCTATAGTCATTGTAGATTCAAAATAGACAAACCCGATGTATTGCACATATATGTGTATTATTTAAATCTGTTATTTCAAGATTTCTAGTTGTTAAATCCCTTTCCTGAGCTTGACCGTATGGTATGCTGTAGCTCTTACGAAGTTGCACCGACTTTTAAAGTGTACCCTGAGAGGTCATCTATGTTGAGCTTAAAAAAATAGTTCTGCACATAAAATACACATTGTCGAAAACGCAAGAACGCGAATGCCTAGGAATGTTCCATTACTGAGAAATTGAGACTTTTCTGAAAAACACACCTTTGGCTGAGAGGCGTTGACCTCGTTTTCGGGCATCCAAACCTGTGACGTCATAAGTACATTACTGTGCTACATGTGATTGTGATCTATTTTGGGATTTTCTGGGGTAATTTCTCTGTTTATTTACGTGAAAGTACTTCACATCTTCGCAATATTTAAGGTAGTGAACGAGGGGTCGGTGAACGAATAGTTTTAAAACCATCGATCAATTTAAATTGATGTCACAGCAATCCTGTGTTTACATTTGTTTAAGTCAACGTATCGCCTGCGTTTCCTCTCTCTTTTGTCCCTAGCCTAGAAGGACGAAATATCTCTAGAACCGTTATTCGACCTAGAAGGAAGAAACATTTTTATACAATTATATCAGCAAATACTGTTTTCACTATTTTACTGTATTCGTATTCGATAGTGCTGTTTTCATTTTGTTGTTTGCCGAATATTTTGACTAAATCGTGTTTAAAAAAAGGACTGTATTCAAATATCAATGTACAAATTGCCGCAACTTGGGTTCAAAAATAAGGAACCTCAATTATAAGGCCACCTCTCTATAAAGGCCACTTCCATAATTTCCCAACAGTGGTCGTTTAATACAGGTTAGACTATATATTTATAATGCATGATCTAAGTTTCTTCGGTGGTATGTTCCATCTTATTTAATAAACTTGTAGGTAAGTTGATGTCGTAATCCCAGTATATGGTTGAACAATAATATTTTAAGAAAAGGGTTTTCACTTTGGTTGCTTCTCCGAGTAAATGTTTGTGTAATGGTCATTTAAAATAAAGATAGAAGCAGTTAAGTATTTTTGAATCTTTGAAATTATAGGTTTACATGGAAAGTGAGACAGTTTACCAATATTTTGCACGCTTATAATTTGAAATGAAACATATAATTATTGACGTTGCCTTTTGTTGCTGAAGTGTCCGTTCACATTAGCGAACATCCAGGATGATTACCAGTGTTCCATGGGGATTATAAACAAAATCTGAACCAAATAAGACTGCAAAGAGGAACATCGCCTTATAATGACCCAAAGCGGTAAAATTTCAATAGATGTTTTACCTCGTATCCATAGGAACGTCATTTTCATTAATATTATCCAATCAAGTGGCAATTACAGGGAAACTGTCTGTAGCTTACGTTCGTGACAAACAGTTTATTTCAACAGAAAATTATCAACCAAAAGGACACGATTTCTACGTGTATTTGTCACGTGGGAAGGCCTAATGTAATCTTTCGACTGTTCATCATATTACAAGCCAGTGGGGCACCTCTATGTGACGCGAAATGTTTAGCGTGTATGGATTGAGGTAAGTTTGAACACAATGATGACTATATTTTGAAAAATATTTTATTGACTACGTATTTATTTTTTTAAAAGAACGAAAAGGAATATCCTTAACCAAAAAAAAACCTATTTACAATAGACTTAACAAAAATTATAAACAATTGCGTCTTTCTTTATAAACAAAACCAGACACGTCACCACATTTATTCATAAATAAACAAATTTATGAGTTAGACTCATTTCCACGGAAACTGGAAGACATCTTTGGCATACAATCATATAAACAACTTTGGTGAGTTTTTTGTCTTGCTTCTTATTCAAATTGAGGCGGGCGAGGAAAATAAGAACCTCGCACCACACAATGCTAGCTGGCTGCCATTTTTTTGTAAAGTGTGCAAGACTACACAACTGCATGCTGGGATAGTAAAGATGACGGACTGTCAGGGCTAACCTGGTAAAGATTAGTTGACGGGTAGAAGCAGCAAAGCTTCAGTGTTGTTATAAGCCCAGCCTAGCACACAGCCGTCCTTCCACCACGACGATCCAACAAAAACTACCAAGTATTTATAACAGCTAAGAGTGTAGTCGGCACATACCCATATCCGTAAACAACACCCCATTGCTCAGAGTTAACAAAGCAACACATTGTCGACATATGTCTTTAAAAAATTTTAATCGTCGTGTTAATTAAAAATTATTCCTTAAAATTCTGTAGCTAGTGTTCAAATATTTGCTATTTTATTTAGCGAATTGGTAAAAACTACCCATAAGGGCACAGCACCCTTTTACACAAATTTAGAATTATATATAGAACAGGTAAACAATATTAAATATTATCCAATTCGAAAAAAAAATGCATTTTTGTACTTTTCCCAAAACATTTCGGTTATGTGTGTGCTATTATCAATATTGTCATCGCATTACATTTAATGACCCTGAGCAATGCGGTCAAACAGATATTAGGGTATCAATATTCGTCTTCCATCTATAATCTCCATTGGCACATAGGAAATAGTTTGGGAAACACTACACCAAAATACTCCTAAATAGTTACAAATATTGAGATCAAAAGTAGGGTAATATTCTCATAACAAATGCATGCTGGTTTCTTTTAATAAAAACAAAACTTTTATAGATATCGAAGATTTCGGATAGAAGAATTAACAGTGAATATAAAGGTAATTAACGGCTTGTTTTACTCAGTTTTAAAGCGATGAGAAAACAAAAACGAATGAAAATAAAATAATAAAAAAAATGCTATTCAACAATTCTTATTTTTCGGTGGGGTGAAAACAACCGTAAGATTAGCACCATAAGAACCATGCATTATTTTAGAGAATGTTTTCATAGAAAAAATAAATGTTAAAATCAAATTGAAATATCTTGGAATTAATTAAAACTAAGACACAAATTTAACAAAGATAATTAATGTCAATCTAAGAAAACAAGTTCTAGTGAAAAAAAACATACACTACTTATGAATTAATTTCCTGCGTTAATTGAAGCACCTGTTAAGCCACTTAGTGATCTGAATACAATAGCCAGCAGATTGTAATTTAACAAGCAATCTCCCAAAGTACCTCCTAGTGCCAGGGATGAACCAGCGGCCTTCATGAAACAGGATTCTATCATCAAACATTTCATTACACAGGTACAGAGTGATGCAAATACCTAACCAAACTCACTTTATTTTTCTTTGTTACAAAAACTGGTTTTGTCTGAAAAATAGACTTAGCTACTGGGAAATGAAGAAGTCACATTCATGATAAATAAGGTTTCTGTACCAGTGCAATTCATGTTTGATGATAAAAGTGAGACCTATGTTGTAAAACATGAGCCCCTCTTGACTGTTCTGATTTTGTGCTTTGCTGGAGTTTTGTTTTTGTGCTTCCTTCTGTTTCTGATCATTTCATTTCTTCCAAATGATACAATTTTTTTTTCACGTTTCAAGTGACAAAAAATACATATTGATTTCAAATTTTTACATGAAACAAGACTGTTTTGAATTTAAAATGAAATCCACCAGAATCAGAAGAAATTGCGTTTTTAGACTACCTGTAGGAATCATAGCGCACGACCAATAGTTAAACATGAAACACCACAAGTATCTGATTATATGCAAAATGTAAATGCTATAAGAATTCGGGCGATGATGAAAAATGTTTGCGATTGATGGGAATCTTTTTAAGATTCTAAGTACTTGCAGTAAGGCTTGAGAAAAAAATAAATGCATTTAGAAGTATTATGCGATATAACTGAGACAATTTGACAAGATGCTTGGAGCTAACAAGCACTAGTCATAACGCTGTGATTCCTAGTCAGGCTCATAACAGACCTTCCATGTTCCGCTCATTGTGACCTCTTGGCCTGTGTACTCCACTGAATCGTATTATAGTGTTTTATGGTATTTGTTATAAGTCTTTTAAGTATTCAGAAACGGATTAATATAAGTTTCAAACTTGTTAACGGAATCCGATCTCATATTTATTGTAAAATAACTGTTATAGGTGTTTATAAGAAAGACAGATAATACATTTATACTAAATTTCTATAAATCTTCCATTTACTTGACACAATACTACAGACAAAATGATGACAGAAACGCCTTTACAATGATGGGGAGCTTGGCTCGGTTGTTATTACGTGGTTAGCACCTAAGTATACAATACAGTATATAAGACATATTGTTTGGAAACAGAAATGATGCACAGTTCGTCAATCTGATTAACTCCGTGCCATACTATAACTAAATTGTCCTTGACCTTTAACAGCACCATGGTTACCGCACCTACTGTTTTTCCTTATATGGAATATTGTTCATCTGCTCAGATTTACTTTCCTGCCAAGGGAAATGATATTCAGTTGTTTTATAATGTTAGTCAAACTTTGACATTAACCTATGTGTACATGAAACTATTCAAGAGAAACACATTTTAGAACATGCTTGTATTTACTTATCTAAAACATATTAATATGAGCCAATGTAGTTTGATTAGGAATCTGATTAAGAAAAGTGTAAGAATTCATAAGAGAGGAAATATCCGAGGGAGTAAGTTCCAAAAGTTCACAGAACAATAAACATGTTACAATGTTCCTAAAGTTGTCTTATTTTAGAATGTAGAAGAAAATGCGTATTGGCCAATCATATTAAATAAAGGGCTCTAGCCACGCCCAGTAATAATTAAAGCCATGATACAGCTGCAGAATGGTTTCCGAAAAGCTAAGTTATATAATTTTAGAATGTCTAATAACACAAGTTGCACATAAATTCTTTACTCATGAGAAAAGTGTGATATATTTTGGACGGTTCCTTGTAGAAAGATGTAGTTTAACTCCTTCATATCAATGGCAAGATGCTTGATTATAAAGATTAAAAGTCAATTTGTTGACCTTGACACACACGCATCACCATACAGCCAATCTAATGTGAATATGACTCCCATCTCTAAATGCTTGTGTCAATACATACACATATGGCTGGCAGAATGTGTGTAAAACATGTGATCTCAACCCTATATTTAAAGGTCAAGGCCAGATTGAAAGTTGAAAGGTCAAGGAGAAGTGAGATCATGCAAGGACAAAAAAGCACAACACATTTGTTTTACAATTATGTATATTGGATTATACTCCGAGTTCGGTGTTTATTGGGCATCTCTTAAAGAGTCAGAAGCGGAGGCAGACATGACACAAATATAAGCATGGTAGGACGACTTTACAATGTCGTCTGGCGAAAAGCTCAAGCAAATCTACTATAAAGATATATAGGAGGTGATTTCAGTGTAAGGTCATTTAAACCATTGAAAATCTACATTGAATGTATATAATTCTATAAAACGAATCTGCTAGTCTCTGTTACCTATAAGACCTTCACCGGAGAGTATGGCATTGAAACCATAATTACTAATGAAAAATTTACAACAGTTGAAAACTAACCATACCGTTTTTTTTTTTTTGACAATTTATATCAATATTAAACACAGAAATGAAAAAATAATATATATCAATACAATAAAACCCCAAAGTTACAATGTTTACCAATCATTTTGTTAATGATTCCATCACTTCTCAGCAGGAACTTAAAAAAAATCCATCAATTTCAGTAAATCAATATTTCCAATCATTCATTTTAACATTCTTTTCTTTCATATATCTGATCTTAAACACTCATGACCTCGCTGATGCAGTTTTTAACCGCTTTCAAAATAAACCTACTGCGAGTCCAGCCTTTAAAAATGTTAATTCTAATAGCTACAATCCTATATAAAAAGTCTGTGTCACGCAATATGGTCATCTTGTTTCTTTGAAATATTCAATACTTCTAGAACTACGAATTTAATACAAAATAAAATAAAAACAAAATAATTAAAAAAAAAATAAAACATTAAGAAATACTTCTTCATCTATAACTTGGAAAATTGACTTTAGTCCTTCTATGAATCACTATTAATACATTGGAATATCGGTAATTTACAGATAAAAAGCATCAATATAAAACTAAGATTTGTAATATAAACCAAAAAAGTTTAAAAGCGTGACACACACTTATTGTACTAGATTATAGTTAAGAAATCAGCTGTTTTAAACTCTGCAATCCGCATATGGCATTTTGGGCACTTTGCTAGGGGTTGTTACACAACCCCTTTGGTTAAGTAATTAACAGCTCACACAAAAGCTTACAAAGCGAAAAATGGGTGTCACACCTCCCTGTCACCACCAGGAACCGTGCACATGGTTGTGTGCATCGCTCATAAATGATCAGTCACATGTTATCACACATGACACCGTTACCGTTCAACACATTCATCGTACAATTAAGATATATCTCGCCCTCCCCATGGACATAACATAAACAGGATCTACTTCTACCGTAACAGTCTATATATAGTAACAGGATCTTTATTGTACTCCTTTGTGACTCCGATACCATTCTGACTAAAAAGCTGTGGCTACATCAGATGTTTGCCACAGCTCAATATCTATACTTTAAACTGAACGCTTTAACTAATAACATATCTAATACAATATTATCATTAATGATTCGAACCATTCCAAAAGTAAATGATATATAATCAATAAAAAATGTTTCTTTTTTGTCAAAGGACATCAACCATTTCACACACAGTAACTTGTCACCATATAAACTACAACAATACAACAGAATATGTGACTATGTGATGGACCAATCGTTGTGTTTGACACAAAGACTGTTTGGGTTTTGTGTGATGGACAAACCACTGTGTCTGACATAAAGATTGGTTACTGTGATTAACCAATCCTTGTGTCTGACATGAGAAGTGTTTGGTTTGTGTAATGACCCAATCACTGTGCATGACACAAAAACAGTAAGGATCAATTGCTGAATCCAACACAAAAACTGGTTACATGTTGGACCAATTGCCATGCCTGACACAAAAACTGGTTATATGATAACCAATTGCTGTGCCCGACACATAAACTGGTAATGTGTTGAAGCAATCGCTGTGCCCGACACAAAAAACTGGTTAAGTGTTGGGCCAATCACTGTGCCTGACACAAAGGCTCTTTGGAGTTTAAACTCTCTCATCACAGCCCTATGACATAAAACCACAAGCAATACATACTATGTTATACAAAATTCATCAACTACATGTAACATGTTTTAATAATCTTAAAGTTCATAGTAACTTCTGCCCAAAGGTCAACCACACAAATGTCAGTTTGAATCATACACATACATACACACACATATAATATAATCTTTTAGCACTTAAAATATGGCGTCTATTCTTATACCACAAAGAACCAGTATAAGTTTATATGGCAAAATGGATTTCAAGCAATATGTTAACAGGCAGCACTTCCAACTGACTTTGTGATAATTTTTGTAGCTAATTTTGTGTAATGGAAGTGGCACTCTCTGTATAACAGAAACAACTTTTTACAAAAGCAAATTTAACTGCAAATTGATTTGTTAGTACTAATATATGGCACTACAATGACTTTTAATTTTCAATGTAACATAGTCAGTGGTTAAAAACCACTATTATTGACTGGATTTCTTAAAATGAACACAATTCATTTCTTGGCTGGATATCAATCTACAGCAAAAGCTGGATCCAGCTTTAAAAGAGAATTTGCAAAAAAGGAAGTCCATTTGTTAAACAATTTTTTTATATCCTAACGAACACAGCAATAAGTGATTGGGTGACATGGAAACGATTTGAGAAGTGACTAAGATTACAAAGTTAAAATCACTTCAATTGAAATGGCACTTTCACATGTTAACTGCAGGGTTTATCTTCTCCTTACGAAACTACAACCTACCTCCTCTGTAGCACTTGTCATGCCACAAAGCTATACTCTACCCGATGTCTAAAACTTCTACTCGTTATAACTCCCACTTAGTACTATATTGTACAACCTACATCAGTACTTTTACCAAGGAATCTGTCCCGCCACAGAACAACACTGACATGACCTAGTATCTAACACTGGCTGCTTTGGAAAACGAAATTGCTTCTCTGGCAACAGTCATTTAACTAAACCATTAAGTTATTCCAAAATTTCCAACAATAAACCACATTTCAGAATAGCATCATCTGTAACCTTGGCAACAGGGGCCATAATTTACCAACATGGTTACAACACATGAACGATCACAAGAGTTTGACTCTTTCATTAAAAAAAAATTAAGATAATTACATTAAAAGTGATATCCTATTGTCTAGATATTTAAAGAAGTGTTGAGGGCAATGTTAAACAGTTTGCTGGCATTTATAAGGAAATATCACAAGTATATGCACGTTTGGGCAGAAGTACTACAAAACAACATATAAAGACAATGAATCCACAGTTCACCCCAGTACTGTTAAGTTACCTAATATTGTACAGATAAAATAGGGCTTGTAATATACATATCAAGATATCACAAAACCACACTGATTAAAATGAAGTTATGAACACGCCGCTCATGGGCTTGGGTGCCTTTGATAAAAACACTGCCTACGCAGACATCGCTGCTGACACTGAATTTAGTTAACAAGAGAGACAAATCCTGAAACAAAACCAATTAACCAAAACATATCTCCTGAAAAAGTCTTTTCCAATAAAAAAGAACATATTGAAGAGAATGACAGCAGAACTGACTGGATAAATCTGACATTTTTATTGTACTGTGGCTGCAACATTATAAACCGTGCGTAGCAGTGGAACGGGACGAGCCGAATACGCTATTATGCTATGTCATAGACTATCAAACAATATATATAGAACGAAATGAGAAAATACAAATCGCATATCAAAATCCACTGAGTAAAAGAAACGAAAAATAAAAGAGATCAAAATAGCCCAAATGGCGAGAATTTAATTCTCAAAAATTTGAAAAATTTGTTGGAAAAAATAGTCTTTCTTGCATATTTAATTATTGAATTTAATCACATTTTGGAAGAAATGATGGGTTTAATATTTTCAATGCTACCAGCAGATGGAAACCTATAACCGAATGGGAAAGGTCAAAGTGCGTTTAGTTGTTATATTCAATGATACTAATGAAAGTGAAGAATGGAATAGGTACAACTAGGTAAAAAGAAGGTTATTTATTAAAATTAAATGTAGAATATCCAGTTGTTAAAAAGTACAATGCACCTGGTATAAAGATTGTTTTGTAGCTAGAATTTGGAACACTGTGTTAATGCAGACACCTTTCCCCAATATTTTTGAACTCTGTGTATGACCTTTCCCATCACCTGTTTTAAAGGTCTGGCTTTCTCAACCGAAATCATTCCCCGATGCGGGCAACAACTCGGCACATGACATGTGATATGTAGACATTCAAACAGATGAAGTAAACATATTTGGTTTTTTTCTTCAATTTGAGACATGTAAAATATATATACACAAATTCTATAACAGTCCTCTTAACATCCTCCGATCCCCCAAACACACATCTCACTCCAAGTATGGTATGATAATCCACCAAAAAAATGACATTTGTGCTAATTGGATATAATCAGTCATATGGCATGCTTAAATGACCAATCAAAATGGTCGTAACAACATGTCTAGTTCAAAATCACATACATATAACAGTTAAGGCTACATTGTTTGTCTCTCAAAAACAAAGTCCAGAATGGTGGCCCTGTTTGACGCCAACTTACCTTTTTTGGATGTTCCCCATTAGTGGGACAGGGGTTCTGATAAAGGTGCTGGGTCCAAAGGGCTGTACCATTACTTAAGTGGGGAAGAAGGGTTAAATACTACTTATGTAACTACCACCGATAATGATACTCTAATATATAAGAAAAATATTATACAGGTAAGAAATTGTATGAACAAAAAGCCTTTGTCCAGTCATGATTGTGATTGGTTTTGTCAACACTAAGGTTTTGTAACATAGAATTTGTGACATGTTCTCATTCAGCGACCTTATTTTAATATAGTATATGTATTTAACCATTGGTTAATCAAACATAGGTTTTAAAAGTCGGTCAACAATCACTAACAATGATTTAATTTAGAATATGAACAATAAATGCTTGGAACACGTGACCTTCGATCAGGTCTTTTTATACATACAAATCTTCAAATAGTTAAAACAGTTACAATGGAACAGTGTTGGTTACCTTCAGCACAGAAGGGCATACATACTGGTTCCCTACCATCATCAGCAGAGAAAACTTTATGGCACAGTTTTGAAAAAAAAATACAAAGAAAAAAAACGAAAAAACAAACAAACAATTGTTCATTATAACAAATTAGTTTAGTGTGCACCTTGTAGAAGAAATTGCACCTTTTTCATCAAAATATATAATTTACAACAGTATCTTTAACTAAAAAATTACAGTCATAACAAACATGTCATCAAGTACACAGGTTTTTGTGTAGAAAGGGGACGGTCTTTCTTGTTCAAAAACTCAATACTTTTTGCTTTATGTGGCATTCATCCTACATTTACCTCCATTAAAGTGCTCTGATGGGACAGGTATTGCCAATTAAACAATGTATTGACCGACCATGACATCCAGAGCATAGTGTCCACTAAACTGGACCAATAACTAACCTTGTAGTATCTACCTTTTAGAGGCAATCTGGATTTTAGGCCAAACGACAATGAAAAAAAAAATTACTATAGTGACAAAAACATAGAACCATCCCCTATCTACACATAAGGTTTACCGAGTACCATGTTGAAGTGATCAAGGGACATAACTCTGCTGTTACAATGCGTCACAACTCCCCACTGTTCCTCTCAGTCATGCATGTAAGTGTAAAACATGAAATTTATACATATCAAACAAAGTATTCTCTTGTCGTGTGCACAATGTGCATCTCCATAGATACAGAAAAACCACTTCAAAATCATAGCTACTAAAAACTCTTAAAGGCTAGCAGGGCTTCACTCCGGGTGGCCATATTGGATATAGCATTAAGGGGGAAAACAGCAAGGAAGTGACAGGCTAAGCAAGGATTTGAAAAAAAACACAAATCAATCCGTTACTAATGCCCAAATTTCAAAAATTAAAATTAGGCTAAAAAATATTTTGCGTAGTTTTATCAAGGTTACTTTATCGCCTAGCAACTAGGGTTATTTTTAACTGATTTATGTTATCATAAAACAATCTTTATCATTAGGATTTGTCTTTGATGAAAAGGATTAAAAAACAAAATAAATTTGAGCAATATTCAATATTGTGGAGAATATCTTTTTTAAGTAAAACCTGTTTCTCTTTTGTCATATAATTTATCACTTAAATGTAAATAAAATTGAAATTTCTGAAATCTAGAAAAAAAATGCATTATCCTTTTAACGATGACTTTTTGTCTCCTTTGCTGCAAGTCTAATCTTGCCACTTAACTCCTTGGAGTTGTCGTTGATTAAGTTGACAACAGGCCTTGTACAATCACATTACTATGATTTCTTCATATCTTATGCACAGGTCAAGGTTATTATCAAAGTCAGAGAAAAGTTCATCACCGGATTCCTTTCACGGATTCATTTCCATAGCACCATGATTCCTTGGGCAGAAATCATTTGTAGAAAAATCCATTGGCAAGGAAGAATACGAGGTCAAAGTCCACGATTTCAAGATCACTGTAATTATTTCAGTATAAATCGTCCCCGCGACTTCACTCACACCTACATGATAATCCTTGTAAAACTTGTGGAATACAAACACTTAAAATCGATTTGTACTAAAAACAACTCAAATATATTGAGAGCTCACTGACCCACTTAGTTTCTCTTGGTTGTCATGGCAACTAAATGAAAAAGAATCATAATGCATTGTGGGCCTGGTTACTTGGAAGGAGGAAGTGGTATGGGGATGTGGTAGTATTTACACATCGCACGTGTACACTTTCCACGGACTGCATCTCGACATACGGCCGCTCGTCCATCCTTCACTTCAACATAATCTGAAAGAGATCAGAATAATCCATAAGTATGGCTGATGTATTTAAGGAAGTGACAAGAAAAATATCTAAAAAAAAATACACTGTTCCCTATAACGTAATAATCTCTTATATATTCACCATTGGAATCACTTACCCTCTGTTATATGCACACTCTTGCATTCAGGCCTGTTACACCGGCCCAATTTAAAATCTCGGCAAACTGGGAGGGTGTCCAGCAACTGAAAATACAACAGCCAATCAAATCCATTTTACTGCTGAGAAGACAAAATAATCTCATATTTGTTACATACAATTTGATTGGTTAATTCTCATTTATTATTGTTTAGTAATTAATAAACCACAGAAGCATTGTGTAGTGTAACTGGATCTCTGCTATGATGGTTGCAGAAAGATTTTACAATAAGTGAAATAGAAATTTGACCAAGCTTATAATGAGTTGGGAGAAATGGCACATTTAGGGGTCCATTTAGACTAGCTCTAAACAGCTTTATCATGTTACAGTCTGAAGCATTAATTAATAAATCTACCAGGTATTAGTAATATTCTAGTTAAGAGTTTAATTCAGTTACAATGTTGATATCTTTTCTCCTTTCAGTCAAAAAATCAATTTTTTTTATATAATATTACTTGTTCAAAGCGGGAGAAGCAACAAATTAAGATATTTTGCTATCTAGCCATGTCATCAAAAACTGCTAACCAACTGCTGAAGCAGGAGACTTTCATCAATTCTGATCAACTTTCCACAACACACTGACATTATTACAACTCATCAAGCACTATATAATAACACACCAACCCTAATGCTATAAATGTATTGTTTTTCTATTGACTACAAACACACAAACCAAATATCAGACATGGAAATACATAGTCCATTTGTCTCATTTATAATAGATTTCTGATTTCAATCAAACTCCTAACACATCCACTCCATTTAAACTCCTAACACATTGACTCCATCTAAACTCCCAACACACTGACTCCATTTAAACACCGAATACATTGACTCCATTTAAACACTGAATACATTGACTCCATTTAAACACCGAATATATTGACTCCATTTAAACTCCCAACACATTGACTCCATTTAAACTCCTAACACATTGACTCCATTTAAACTTCCAACACATTGACTCCATTTAAACTTCCAACATATTGACTCCATTTGAACTCTCAACAGGATGACTCCAGATCCATCCTACAAAGGTAACTCTGAGTAACTGACATGCTGATACCATATGAACCACCTACACACCGACTTTATTTCCATTTTAAAATAAAGGATCCACATCAACCACATATTTCATCCCTTAGACTTTATACCAGGTCTTGTCACATTACTTCTGCACCAGGTGTGGGCACATTACTTCTGCACCAGGTCTTGTCACATTATTCTGCACCAGGTGTGGGCACATGACTTCTACACCAGGTGTGGGCACATTACTTCTGCACCAGGTGTGGGCACATTACTTCTGCACCAGGTGTGGGCACATTACCACTATATCAGGTGTGTGGGCAAATTACCCCTATATATATAAGATGTGTGGGCACATTACCCTTATATCAGGTATGTGGGCACATTACCCCTATATCCAGTGTGTGGGCACATTACCCCTATTTCAGGAGTGTGGGCACATTACCCCTATATCAGGTGTGTGGGCAAATTTCCACTATATCAGGTGTGCGGGCACATTACACCTATATCAGGTGTGTGGGCAAATTTCCACTATATCAGGTGTGCGGGCACATTACCCCTATATCAGGTGTGTGGGCACATTACCCCTATATCAGGTGTGTGGGCACATTACCCCTATATCCAGTGTGTGGGCACATTACTCCTATATTCAGTGTGTGGGCACATTACCCCTATATCAGGTGTGTGGGCAAATTTCCACTTTATCAGGTGTGCGGGCACATTACCCCTATATCAGGTGTGCGGGCACATTACCCCTATATCAGGTGCGTGGGCACATTACCCCTATATCAGGAGTGTGGGCACATTACACTATATCAGGTGTGTGGGCAAATTTACTCTGTACCAGGTGTGGGCACATTTACTATATTTCAGGTGTGTGGGCACATTTACTTTATATCAGGTGTGTGGGCAAATTTAATTCATATCAGGTGTGGGCGTATATACTGTATAAATGACACTATATCTAATAATTACATATTGACATTCAATAGCAGTTGATGACACATGAATTTCATACTCATTTGTGACTTCAAACCAACCAAGGACAAACACAAGCCAGTCCAAGACATGTAGATTCCATACTTATTTATTCCACTTCAACCTCTGATATGTCCACTAAAAACCAATCCTCATTGATTCTACACTGACATGAAGGAACCAAACCTTTCTTTTTGAAAAATAACAAGATCTTTAACTAAGAAACAAAACACTTGGATACAGTGAGGTACTTAGGGATGGATCATTATAAAGGAGATTTATTTTGATGTCTGTAGTAGCTGTGAAGTGAAGTGAATATTCAGGTAGCACTTCAAAAACAATTACGCTTACATATTCACTTCAAACACTGTCCATTTATGGGATATTTCAGTAAAACCTGCTGATTGAGAAGCTACTGGCTGATAGAGAGGAGAGACAAAGATCATCCTTAAACTACAAGGTGCACTGGGAGGGATGTGGACTAGCTGATAAGTCTGCCTCTAATCAGACCTGCATTAAATATCTCACCCTATATCAGGACTGCTCTTACAGGGCGAAAAACTCAACCAAAACTAATCAGGCATTTTTAATGTCCTGAAACTGCTTGTCAAAGAAACATATCAATAATGGATTTGATTAAAAATAAAAATGAACTATTTCATGTACAATAATGCAACCACTTTAAAAAAATTCATTTTGGTTAAGAACCTTGAATTTGATTCCTTGATAAATTAGCGTTCATTTTGACATAACCCATCTTATGGTTTATAAGTCAATTTAATCAATACAATATCAAAATAAGCTAACTCTGATCAATTCTAGGCCTGCCTAAAATAATACCTGTCACGATGACACAACCTAACTACAGCAACATTACGTAATTGTTGTTGTTATCCCACACGTTTAATCTATCATGTATCTATGATACACTAACTACAAAACACATTAGCAGTTGTTATGGTAACTAGAGAGCACTCTACCTGTTGGTTGCTGTCAAAGTAATTTACGGTATAGGCGTTATTAGATGGTACGCCAATTGGTGCCGTCACCATAGCTGTGGATGCAGCGGCTTCAGGGGAGACAACCAATGGCACTGCTGGCATTGTGTTGTCATGGCAACAGTTAGGGGACCAGTTATTGTGCAGATGTTGTCGAAGCATTCGAACACCACATGCAGGTGACCAAAGCAAATTAAAAGCACACAGGAGTTAGAGCATGAAAGAAATGAAACAACAAAAAAGTATAAAAATTAATAATGTGTTAATTGTGCTGAAATGGCAAAAAATAATATAGATGTTTGTTAATAATGTATTTGACCAAAGTAACATTCATTTGTGACCTCATTTACAACCCTTTGACCTAATTTAATTCCCTTTACCACCATATTTGTTTGACAAGCTAAAAGGTATTCAATGTTTCTAGGTACCCAAATATGGTAAGTAAACTAGTTTATCTTAACACAGTTTGGACTAATTAAAATATTCAAAGATGACCTAATTCCTATGTCTATCCTGCATGACTTAGTCATTGCCAAACATCAGCCTCTGATGCAAATTTGCAGACAAGTTCAAAGAATGACAAGAAATAGTATCTGCTTACATTTCTATTGCAGTGTATTCCCTGTTGGGTTGGTTACATGGTTTGATGTTTATTCACTGATCTGATCTCTTTTGTCATGAAAATTGATTAGTATCTTTGGTAAAGCTATTTTTCTGTACTACTGAATGTCTTCCCTTCCTCAAATTAGTTATGATTTTTGTTTTCCGTTTTCAGATTCTTCTATATTGGATTTCATATCCACAAATAAGATGTCTTTGCTATATCAAATTAAAGGTCACAGTTTGTTAGTATAATCAAATACATGTTATACAGCTACAAAATCATAATATGCAAACCAGATACATATGTATGTGTTGCAATCTAAAAATTACAAAACGATAAACAAAAGAAAACCCAGGCAACCAAAATGATAATTTGCATTACCAGTAAATGTTAAGGTAGTAAGGATATTAATATCATGTATGCATATTGTTAAAGCCATTTCCTGCATAAGATCCTGTAACCATTTAAAGGGCAATATCATGCCAAGATGCAAATCAACTTTAAATATGCCATCTGCCTCTGTTGGTGCATGCTCAAGTACCATTTCCTAACTTCAAAATTTCAAGATCTCTATTCTTGGTTAACAAAGAGAAATAACTGTTAACTGATTTGATTGGTTGAATTCTACCTCCATACTGTTTTGTAACTATTAAATGTCACGAGGTTTAAACTAATTTGTAATTGGCTATTCTCTTACCTTCATACTTATTTGTAACTGGAAAATTCATAGCCTTCAACCTGACTTGTGATAGCCTATTCTCAGTAGTATTCAACCTGACTTGTGATTGGCTATTATCTGTAGTCTTCAAACTGCTTTGTGATGGCTATTATCTGTAGTCTTCAAACTGACTTGTGATTGGCTATTATCTGTAGTCTTCAAACTGACTTGTGATTGGCTATTATCTGTAGTCTTCAAACTGACTTGTGATTGGCTATTATCTGTAGTCTTCAAACTGACTTGTGATTGGCTCTATCTGTAGTCTTCAAACTGACTTGTGATTGGCTATTCTTTGCAGTCTTCAAACTGCTTTGTGATTGTTGTATTTCAAACATTACCATCATGGTAATTTGAGACTCTATTTCTGAGTGTGGACTGATTCCTGATTGCTTTTCTCCTCACTTCTTCCCTGAATTTGGCCAGTTTCTGTTTTGGTTTACTGATTTGTGATTGATTGTTTACTTTTCTGATTAGAAATTTTCCAATCTTGCATTTCATCTAGCATTTCTGAATTTTTGACTGGAAGACATTTGATTTTATAGACACAGGCTATTGATTTCAAAAGTGATGTTTTATCATGATGAATAACACATTTGTATGTAAATCAGATCAATATTTTGGAGGGTAGATACACATTCCTGACTCACAGCACCAACAGAAACAGAGTGATATGACTACAATATACAACGTACACTGAAGCACTTTCACAACATACATCCAACACATGTATCATACACCAATATTCAAGGTAATACAATATTCTTGCATCAAAACTTCTGACATGTGAATCATTAACATTAAAATCATGCAGGAAAAAAAGAAAATGAAAATATTTTTTTAAAGAATAATTGTAATGCTTTAGAATAATAAAGATTGCTACAAAGTCAAGTAAGTTTTGGAGTTAGTGCTTAAGCTTTAAGATGTGGATATACTGAATAACCACCCTGTGTATCCCAATAGACTGTCTCATTTCTTTAAGCTAAAGACAGCCCATTGTGGACTATAGGGAAGGCAGGTCAATAGACAGCTATGTGCAAAAATATGGAAATAATGCTACACATCAAGAGTTAGTTCCCTTACTCAGGTGATGGGTATTAGTAATTATTCAGAAATAGTTAGTAGCTATAGTTCCCAAATGATAAGGCCAGATCTTTCATCCAAACAAAAGGCCTGGTCCTTATTTACATCATCATTTAAATTCTTAGCCTTGCTAGATCACTTGTAAAATTCAATATTTTTCAACAGTCAAACTATAAATTTTCTAAATCTTGCTAATATTATTAATTTTCCTCCCCAATTTTGTCAGCTATTAAGAAGTGTTATTTTAAAGGACAGAAAAGAAGATAATGACACAGTGAATGACAAAAACGGTCAAAACTGACCATCGGTGATGATAGCGGCCTATTTTTAGTATCACACTCACGTGTTACTGGAACTAGGTGTTGCTGGGGTATCTGCAAGGTCGGCTGCAGGGGACTTGACTGTGATATCTGGGTAGGAACTGGAATGCCACTTTTATTTGTATCTGGGGAATCAAAAGTGGCCAAATTCATTCTCACATATCACATATTTTTATGACTTTTTCTCATGTACATGTTTGTATACGACATAACATGAAGATCAGCTGGAGACTATTGGGGAAATCACCATTGATCTTCAAAATCCAATCCACTAAGAATAATCCATTTAATTCTCTTGATGTAAATCTGATTGTGATTTTGTTGTTATTTTCTTGTACTTATTGGGTTTTAACTTATAAATTCATGTAAAGCTACATCCCAGCAGACAGTATCAATAATCAACAGCATTTATCATTTCCTGTTTTCAAATTCTTTTTTCACAGCAAGTTACAGATGACAATTTACAAAAGTGGTCCTTTGTTTGAGGAGTATAAAATTGGGAAAAAAATTCCACTGTTTATTTGTACCTTAAGCAAGAATAATGAAAATCGATGTACCCTAATAGAAAAAATAATTCAGTTTGAAATGAAACAATATGATCCGATTAAAAAATTTTGTTTAAAATGTTTTGAATTTTTCTTTCAAGGAATTTTTCAATAATTCTATCAAAACAAGGAACCTAAGAGAGATTGATAACCACTGATAACTTTCTATACTATATAGAAGAGTTTTTTTTCCCTCTAAGATACAGGTTGTATTATAGTCATGTTAACTGTAAATAACTTATTTTGTTTGAAATTGTATTTTGAAAGTTAAACAGGCCTACTGACCAGATCAGTATTGTTAACAACAATGTTAACAAATTTTTAAGGGACATTGCCTGAAATCAAGTGAATATTAACAAGTCAAAGGAACATCTAATCAGGGTGAAGAAAATGCCTAACTAGGTCCATTGATGAACATATTAATCCTGGAGACGAATCCTTGAGAAATAGCTGTAACAAACTCCCTAATGCCAAAATCTAAAATGCCACTGGTGGTTATCTTGAATGTACAGCTAGTGTCCACCTACAAAGTCCATACTGAATCTTCCATAAAACAGGATTCTTTTTGTGATTTTTTAAGAAAAAGCAGTGACATGCTAAAAATGTCAAAATTCAAAATAGTAACTCTTGAATACCTGGCCAAGTTCTTATATGTGGCTTATCATCAGGAATACCTCTTCAGAAGGTTATAAGAAATAGTGGTAACCAACTTGATATGCCAAAATTCTGTCTTGAATGCCTCGTGATGTTCCACTAAGTTTGGCATTTACAACAAGGTACCATACTTAATATGTTTACAAAATTTGAGGAAATCCCTTCAGGAATTGTCAAAACTTTACAAAAGCCTTTTGGTACAATCTAGAACAGCCAATGAAGCAGAAAATATGACATGTACATACAAAACTGTTCCCTAAAGATTCGTTTTGTAGTTATAGAATGACGAAAGTCGAAATGACTTGAAAAGCCAACCACCTGATAATAGTAGATTGGAAGAAAATCAAAATGATTTCAAATTTGTGAAGTGTAGATTTTTGCATGGACTTCTTTCATATATACAAGATTGAAAGGCCTTATACTAGGAGATATAGATAAGCCTGGCCAACTAAAACGCCATTACTGGAAAAAATATTCATTGGAATTTATTCTTTGTCCTTGAAGTTTCCCTTTTTAACTACCGTGTTTGCATTAATATTTTTGATGTTCATGTTTTTGGCAATCAGATCCAAATTATGTAATACGTAACTTCTATCAAAATTTCAAGTGATGTTTAGTTATTATGTTTTAAACCTGTACAAATCTCTGTTCTGGGGATGTAGCTTTCTCATGAAACTTGACTCAAACTTTCTACAAAACTGGTCATAAAGTTTGAATTAATTGAATGAACAGAACAAAACACATTTCAGACCGATAACAAAATGCTCTACCAAAGCAAAGGCAAACATGCTTCTATATAATGCATTAACTGTCGGACGTATTAAAAAAGACCAATCTAGTAAATTTTTACTAAAATGCATAATAAACAGTAACTCTTTCAGTTGATATCAATCTTTTTATCAATTAAAGAAACATATATCTCAGGAATTATTTACATAAGCTGACAAACTTTGAATTTAAATTATCAAACACTCATATTCTCATCTCTACGTCGTCCACACTGTTGACATTGATACATAAGCTTCACCAAACTATCACAGTCATATATTTATAATTAGAGAACCACATATTTCTAGAATCTCTCCTCTCCAATTCTTTTTGTTTTAGAGTTTATTTGATAAGCTATATTTTTAATTGAATATTTACTGAAACATCCTTAACACTGCGCAATATAAGTCTTTCCATCACCAATTTTTATACTGTAGAAAGCACATATAATAGATTTGGCATTAAGTCTAGTTGTGGATAAAATACTGATGAAAGTTAGAAGTAATGCGATGATATACTGATTTAGACATGAAACACAAGTAAATAAAATTTTTACTAGGACCTAATATGACTAAAGGGTGTTTAGAGAAGTTACTTTTATTCTTTAATTTACCAAACACATTTAAAGCTTTTTTGTTTTAAGCTAAGCTTACATTGATAACCGTGTCATAAATTATGAATATTTCATTGACCAATCAAAATAGCACTTGACATTCATTGCATTCAAAGCTACATTGTTCTGTTCATATTCAGGTAACGTGATAGTTAAATACATTATTACTACATACAATAAGGTATGTACTTATTTATATTCGTAACTGATAACTGATATTCTGCATGAAAACAAATGAGGAATAGAACATTATATCAACCGTGAATTCAAAATATTGCCCAACTTCTCAGAGATGAAATCCTTTGAACAGCACATTAAATATTACATTATCTCCTTCCATGACGAACATGGTGTCTTTTTTTCAAACACTGTATCAATATTTCCCTTGTATGAAACGATAATATCTCAAACAGCATTACGATTTGATAAAAAAGTTGAACAAAACACTATTGTAAGTTAAGTTTTGGTAGTACTTAGTGATTAGATAGTCACTGGTTGTAGTTGAAACTTGAAGGAGATATATATATATAAGCAATTTCAATATTTACTGGTTAAGGCACTTGGTGATGAAATCAAATTTTAATGTAATAATTGTGTAAAAGAAAAATATAATAAAACACCATATTCATCTTTTGAAATCTGTAATAAATTATTGAAAAAAAAAATTTGTAACAGGCAACACAATGAGAAAGTGACAATAAATCACCAAACCAAAGATTGGTCTTTTTTAATTGCAATCATTAACAAAATTATGTACACATAGTAAAATGACAATTGTTTAACAAACATGTTCAGCTGCAATGTAATGTGATTAATATGCTGTAAACAATAAGATAAAAGTCAACACAAGTCATAGCCAATGTGTATGCATCATACAGTGAAAGCTTCAGAAGTCAATAAACCTAGGCAGCCATTCACAAGCATTGTCGTAACAGTGACAGGGAACAAATCCACCCTTCACTCAAGTGTGACACACACACTTACATGGGTTGGACGAGTATGGGTTGAAAGGGTATTAGGGGTTGGAAGGGCACAAAGAATGACTCTTTTATTGACATTATCAGCTTCAAGACGAAAACATGTTGATCAAGTTTATTACTTCTTAAAAATTATCCAAATTGAAAACGTTTCCTTTTAGTTTTCATCAATCAAGATTCTTCTGGTTCACTCAGAGGTTTGTTGGTAGCTTTGTGTGAAAATATGGGTGTTCATTAATCTGTATATACCGGTATCTGACAATTACTATTCCTTAATTCATTTTCTTGTTTTAAAAATAAAAATCATGCTGACGTTTCATATTTTTATGAATAAATTAACCCTCCCCCTCCCTTAATAACTGAAACACAAATACAGTAAATCTTAAATATGTACATGTAAAGCAGTTACAAAACTTCCTTAAATCCATAATGAATCCAGAAAGAATACAAAATATGAGGAAAGCATTCATAATGATAGACATCTCAGACATAATTCAAGCCATCATTTACAAATGCATCACAGGACAAAGTATAACGGCAAAAGGAACGGTTTCAGTCAAGCTTTAACTTGAAGCAGAATTTTATAGAGGCTACTGTAAAGGTTAAAATTTGGCTCAGATCTAATTGATAAGCAGTAGTTGCAATTGAGTTCAAACTTTCATGTGAAGCAGACTTGTACAGGTATTTAGAACTGATATAAGCTGATATTGCAATTTTCTAAAATCTTTAAAAAATCTCTGTAACAAGTGATATGTTTGAACTGCTGGCATTGTTGGTCAAGTATTGCATCCTTTTGTATTTTCTGTGTATAGTTTGTGTACAATTTAAAATTCCTGTATTAAAGTAATGTTGTTCTTTAATATGTAATGTCTGTTCTGTTATGGTCTTTCCCAATGATATCTTCACAATATTTTTTCCGATGTATTTTGTTGTACGATTATTTTCTATATCTTTACCCAATAGAACCTTTGCTATATTTTTGTCATGAACAATTTTTTGCTGTCGTTATTTTCAAGGTTACAAAAACAGGTTTTTTCTGCAATATTTTCTGGGTTTTACTTTCCTGTAACCTTCCATAAATTCATGTTTATATCTAAAGCATTTTTAATTAAAACTACAGCTAGTTGATGATATCACACATCTGACAGTTTTTTTTCTTTCTTCAAATTAATTGAACATTACTGAGAACTACAAGTGTAAAGTCTAAGTGTAAAAGTAACTTAATCTATTGTATAACAAACTTCATTTATTTAGTCTGGTATTGTGTGTGGTGAATTTGTACAATTATGATATAACATTATAAGTGTTGTTTACTCATACATGTAACAGATACAAAACTCAATAGTGTGACCATTTTTTATGCATTTGGTGTAACTACCTGTTACACTTCTAAAAGCTTCCTCAAGAATTTTACAAAATTTGACAAATACAGTGGATTTTCTCTACACTGGCTTCTTTCTAAGTATAATTTTTTGTACACTTGTCTCAGCAACAACATTTCTTAACATATCTATATGATTGACTTCTTCATAATCTGCTACAATTTCTGAATCCCTTTTCTATCCTCATTTTTATTGACATCAGCTAGGAAGGACAATGCCCGTGACTATGAGTGACCTCTGTCATATTCGAGTCAGTGAAATAGTTCAAAATACAATAAAAGTATTTCAATGAGCAATTTGAAAGACATCTTTATATAAATGATAAACAATGAACTTTGTGATGATATACAAAAAGAGACGGGATATAGATTAGGAATGAAGTAGTTTATTATTTGTTTTTTTTTGGCATTGTTGAGAGCTTTAAAACAGTGAAATGATTTTGTGCAAAACCTCAAAATTTCTTTAAATCTGTTGTAATAAAAATGTAAATATCCTTCTGTCTATAAATAGAAAACTGGACAAGCCTTCAACTACCAATAAACATTGTGATTAAGACATTTGTAATTTCAAGAATTTGAGACATGTTAGGCGGCAATTTGTTAAGGAAATTTTGCAGGAATGAAACTTAAAAATTTAGCTGTAGGTATGCCAGATTGCAATAGATTGAGAAAACATTGTACCAGTTTATTTTATATAAAAGTGTTTTAAAGTTATTTTTGTTTCCTGAATTTAACTTCCATACTTTCTATATCATGAGAACTTGTCTCAAACCATCCAAATACTTTGGTCACTTATATGTCCAGTTTAGAGGAAATCCACTTTAATATTTGAAGTATTTTACTTATGAGTCCAGAAATATATTTAAAAGATACCACAGCGAGTAATCCGACTTCAGTATTATGTATTAATTACATAAATAGCAAAGGTATATACTTGCAAGCTGCAACAGTAGCATTCATCCTTCATTTTTCCAACTTTAGTGAACAACAATGAAATATTATTTATGGAAAATGAAGGGTGACCAACTGAACAGAAGCAAGAAAACTCAGGCAATATAATTTTCTTACAAGATAAAATCCAAGTTTCCCTACTTCAATCATTTTTTTCTCTAGTTAATTCTTTCTTTAACGCTATCTTTTTCAATTTTCTGGTAAATACTAGTATCTGCCATTCGAGTTCTAGAAAGCATTCAGTCAAAGAATAATTTCTTATGTAATCTTTAAATTTTTCTTTACTTGATTTTTCTATGTTATTGAAAATGTTACGTATTCCATTATCCCATTTAATTTGTTTTCAAATTAAGTACTTCTTACTAAACTTAATAATTTTACTTAACTATTTAGAGAATAATCACTATTTTGATCCATCTAAATTTTCATATTTTTTCCTCAATTAATTCAAATTTGACTAAGAGTCTTTTACACCTGAGTAATAGCACTAACAGCAAAGCTTTTCCTACAACAGCTGGTTGGATCTGATGTGACAAATTTCACACCACACAATGATATGTTTGCAATTGATGGAAATATATACGTTATATGCACTACGGCAAGACGCCTTATATATGCTATCAACACTTGTTCCTCTTCCTCTTAACCAAGCTACTTTTGCTTTATAATCTACAGTTGTCTGTAAATTTTTTTTCAGATTTTTGTGTTTTAATGATGAAATAATGAAGACCAACTTACCTGAAACATAAACTAAAACAACAAAAAATTGCAGAATTTGAAAGAAACAAATCATAAAAATGAGATACGAAGTGAATAAATGAAATAGAAATGAATGAAGAGGCAAATTTGATCTTAACATGGTTCCTGGTTTGGTTAAGCTCTTAGTACTCTCAGTACTTGGATTTCTTAAACTATTCAAAAACACTTACAGTACTTCTACAACAGTCCCTAGTGGCATAATTATTTACTGAATTACATGTTAACTACAAATTATCTCATCACTGTTTGCTTCTTTATGTCAGAATCTTAGGAATAAAGATTAAATATGAATAGATTTCCAAATAAAATGATTGTCTCAAAATAACTTTATTCTTTAAAATATTAAAAAGTGAAAAAATTAATTTTAGGGAAAAAAATTCCATTTAGACCGACACCAGTTGTTAATGAAGGAATCACTTTGAAAAAAACCCAAGGTGTAATCAGTTGTGTATTAGGAAAGTAAAATTGTTTTATATCTATTCTGGGTATTAACATTTCAAAGCATTTCAAGTTTTCTACAATCAATCTTGTAAAATTAACTACATTTTAATTATTAACCTAAGCTTAGTCATATTGATTTAATACAAAGTTTATGTTGGGTTCATGTTAAATGATCTTAGTCTCACCTATTGACCAATAAATAACTAATGTTCGATTTGAAAGAAGTTTCATAGTATTTTCATGAAGATCAGTTTTCCTTGTCTACAAGTCTATTAACATTCGTGTCTGGGTTACAATCTGAAATTGAAATGATTTTCTGAAGTTTGATGATACCTGAAGGTTTGTGTAGATAATCCATTTTACCCTGTACAAGAAGCAGTCCTCTGTTTACTGACAACGAAAGCCTTCTATTCCATTCTATATAAGCTGAATTAACATGCTGATGACCTTGAGTAGGAGTGGGTGGACAGTGAGAAAATTCATTAACTTCAGATGCAGGACACAAGACCATACTTACAACTTCCCAAGACAAAAAGGACTGTCCTTGAGCTGTGACCTTGAAAATTAAGAATGAACAAGACAAAATGTTTTTATACTTACAACTGGTAGCTGGCACATATTGCTGTTGTAACTGCATGGCCGTTAGTGCCTGTTGGTAGGCGAAGTTTGCACCTGGATGATACATAGGTAATCCACTTTTGCCATCAGCAACCGCTACACGTTTGTATGGTATCACCCCAGGTAAAGCACCCTGCTAGAGGAAATCAGGAAAAAACTGCCTTGTAAGAAAGGGCTGTTGGATTAGGGTTGGTGCAATGAAAATAAGCATGTGAAAATTGAAACCAAAAATAGGATGAAAATATTTGACTTTTCAGCCAAGACCATGCCAATTATAATAAAATCATTTGTTATAGATACAGAAGAAATTTGCAAAAAAATAGTAAAAAAATAAAAACCAAAAATATCCCCTGGCCAAAGAAAAACTGCATTCAAACTTGTTTTTTGTGTGTGAATATTTTTTTCTGTCAAACCAAATTGTTAACTGTCTAGATAAATAATTCCCAAATCCCATGATGCATTTTTCAGAAGGAGACAATCACCAGAAGTGATATAAGAACTACACATCTAGAGAGTTGACAAGCAAATCTAAATAAGAGTTTATATACATTCTACAAGACCGACAGTTTGTGAGACACAAGCTTCATACAAAACATGTAGATACTGAATATATAATTTTGTATTGAATTACACCAAGGATTACAGTGTATATGTATGTAGTTATAGTCCGAAAGGTCCTGATTAATCAGTATAAAATATATTGATATATCAGAAATTTTTCTTTATCTTTATAAATTTTCATTTTTTTTTCATAACTTGCAGAATCACATGACATGAAGTCGACCTAATTTAAATCACAGAAAGTCCAAACAAGCATTTTAGTGATTTGGAAAGCAAAACCCACAGAATTTCTGCAGTTTCACAGGTTATTTTGTCCTAGGTCAGGCAAATTTCCCACACTAATAGGAGTAGTAAATATATGTACCATACAAACATGCACTGCACAGCAGTAAGTGAGGCCAAAACAAAGTGTAGGAAAGGAATCCGTCCTGAGTCCAACATACATCAAAGTTTGCACAAATAGACATCATCCAAATTTGACATGTGTTGAACTGATTATTATGTACATAGAAAAAACAAATCTAATAGTGTCACAAACAGGCTTTAGAAAACACAGTTCCTGTAAAATAGTTACAATACTGGAAACTGGGGAGTGGGCCGTCATTGTCATGTGACATGGTCATGTGACAAGGTCATGTGACTGTCATGTGACTGTGCAAAGTTTGTCCTTAAGCAGACTACAGCTACATGCAAAGCTTCATGGGATATAGTACCAGAACGAGGTCATCGGCATGGTCACGAGGTCGCTTCTTGCCTGGAATGACCTCAACCACTTGCGGCTAATTAGTATGCAGAGCACATGGCGATCGGCCAATGAAATGGCGGCATGGCAGGGATGGCAGCACATGACAACAGCAAGCAGCAACAAGGCATGATGGGAGATGAAAATAAAAAAGAAATAGCACCATCGGTAAAAAAGTTCAATCAACATGCATCAATATATTTTGATCTTTACAGACTGTGAATTAATGGTGACAGTAGTAGTTATAGTAAATAATAAAGATTATAAAAAAATAAAAAAAATAAAAGAAAATAAATGATAAAATATGTATTAGAAAAACAAAATAGAAAGCTGAGATTTGTTTAGATTCATGCATCTTATATGCATAAATATTTTTTATGAAAATATATAGAGAAATATTAAAATAAAGATTAGTTACTTTCACACCATAGCTGTGATTAGATATACAATATACAGTAGAATTTTATTAGAAGCACAAGAAAAGTGCAAGAGATTTAACTACACTAAGTGTGTTAATCAAACTTTTCATCTTATATCTCTCCAAAACTGATAACTATCTTTTGATATATTTTTAGTAATAAAATAACGATAATTACACTATAGCAAAGATTTCATGCAAAATATTCACATCATGTTTCTTTAGAATATGAAATATTTCTTCATCTGTGTTAGATATAAAAATCATTTGAACAACTAAGAATAAATTTTCTCGAACAAAAAGTCCTTAACATGAAAATAAGAAAAAAAATCCTATAAAAAAACAAACCACTAATAACAAAAAATAAACAGTATTCAATATTTTATGATAAAAAAAGGAAAAATCAAAATAAGTATTTTTTTAATTTGATTTATTGACGAAAATCTTATTTTTTAAGAAAAAATGGGGATTTAGGGAGTTTGCTGTTGAGATGTGTAAAGCCATTGGTTGTCTCCAGGAGAGGATGAAGGAGAACAAAGGAAGAAAACTATAATGCTGAAACAAACAGAAATAATAGGAAAATGTTCTTTTAAATATGTATAATCTTGAGGAGCTGAAACAAAAAACCATGTAGGTACTGGTTGTGAGATATAGGCTGCAAAATAAAACATAGGTGCGTTTAGTACAATCTACTAACATCATAATATACAGTTCTACATGTCTACCATTCACATAGCCTAGCTTACACGGAATCATGCTTGTCCAAGTCAATTGTACCGTCACAATTACCCCTCTTAAGCGTCAAATAAATATATCTGTATAGAAATACAAGGGGCATGCAACTTTTCCCTTAAAACCTAGCTGTACTCACAATTAATAGCATATTATATGCTGGTGAATTTGTAACTTCTACAGAGAAGCTCCCCAGACCACCATTTCATGAAAATTCCTTTTCCAATAGAATCTTCTATACATGTCTTTAAATTTGAAAACACTGCTGAAGTTGATGTAAAAATTCAAATCTTCCTTCAGCAATGATTTCTGAATGTAAACACCAAGTTAAGAATTTCTTAGGTAAGGAAATCTCATCAAAATGGTGCTAGTTTTTTTTTCTAAATCTCTTGAAAAGCACAATTAGTGCAATTCTGATTGATCATGACTTTCTGTAGTCACAAGAAAGCTTCCAAACACGTAAATAAACTTAAATTTGAACATTTAACAATTAAAACCAAAACAAATTTCTTTATCAAAGTTTCTCTTTATCATTTTGGTTTATTTAAAAAAGAGATATGCAAATGGTGAATGTAAAATAATTTCACAACTTTGGTCTTTAAATTGAAATAGCGGCATATATAGAAGTTTGGAGTGTTAATCCTCCATTACAGTCTAGCTTTCTGACGAGGTTAGATAATAAAAGCCACAGGAAAAAAACTCATCATCACCACAAATATTTCTCAGTGTCAACACAATTCTGTAATAAGCCCGTATCTTTTAAACACAGTTTGGAAATATTATCTTTTAATATGATATCAAATCTAGACATAACTCAATTTTGGCCAAGATCTTTCAACACAATAATTTTATTTTAAAATCACGTCTTTAGAATTTATGTGTAAACTGTGTTAAAAAATATGGCATATTATAGAAAACATTTGAAACATAAGTAAAAGTGCTTTTCTGATTTTTACAATAAAGACAAAGAGAAAATGTATGAAAATGATTTTGACATGAAACTCAATGTCATTTTTTGTTTAGTTTCTAGTTCAGGGACAGCCCCAGATACAGTAGAGTGTAAGGATGTGTATAAAGAAATCAGATTGTTAGCAACGCCCAGCAAATTTTAGATACTTGTGTCAAAGGTGACAAAGTGAACAAGACACATTTGTGACAAGTGACTGATAGGTGAATCTTGAAACGTTCCATCTGAAAGACAAGATGCTGTATTCAAAGTGCCGTTAATCAGACATTCCAACAATACTTTGTGTTATCAGAGTCAGAAATGATGCAGCAAATTGTTGGATGCCAGGTCAGGCTGTGATAATCAAAATTCAGACCTAGATTTACCTGTCACAGCCAATAATGAATACATTCAGATCTAAATCACACCTGTATTTGTATTTTCTATGTTTGAAAAATATCAACTCTTCTGTTCAAAACAAGTAGATCAAATATGTTAGATTTTAAAAGGACCGATTTTCTAATATTGCAAAAACAGTATTGTAATAAACAAATGGAGAAAACTTTGTGTATGGTCCTATAAACTGAGATCAGAGTGTTATTAATCAGAGAATGATAAAAATGCACAAAAGTTGTTTAAGGAATGAGGAATTTAAAAGTAAATGAACTTTAAATGTATCTAATTTTTGGCTTTAAAAGTGGATGGAATGGAACTGAAATGAAGAATACCATATTTGAATTTGCTTCTTACAATTTGTTTGAAGCAAATGAAAAATCACAAATCACATTTTGTATGTGGAAATTAATCAAATATTTCTTTCAGCAATTTTTGGTTTCAGAAAAGCATTTTTACAAAATCACAATTTGCATAATAATAAAATGACAAGGCAATTAAAGTGAAAGTATAAGTATAGAATACATTGTTGTACATACAAGTCGCGGGGCCGCTCAGTATTAGGATCTCCGCCAACTGTCAGGTTCGACCAACATCTAGCACATACCCTTGTTGACCTTTTCGTCATATAAGTAAAAACAGCCAATAAAACTGCTATGTATCCAGGCAATAACCAATCAAATGTCAGACATGCGATACACTGTGAGTCACTGACTTGGCCATGGACAACCCCCCCTGGTGAAAAGGACTAAGGACGTCTGTAACAGTCGAGATTTTTAAATGTCAATCTTGGTATTCTTATTTCCAGTATTGACAGTAGAATCAAAATGGTTTTTTCTCTCTACAGTTGAATTTTTTTCTTCAATTTTCTTGATCTTTTCTCTTTTCCTTGAGAAATTCCAAAATCTGTATAAATATCATATGTCCAATTTTCTATTAGAAAATAATGAACATATGGTTAACAAAACGTAGAATGTACACGTGTTTCGTGGAGTGAAAATTGCATAGGGTTTCGCAAGGAATACAGTGACAAGCGATAGGGGCAGAAAAATCTAGGAGGCTGTTTCAGAACTTTCATGTCTGAACAGAAATATCTGTTTTAGTGGAAGCATTGTAAAGCAAAGAATTTTGAATAAAGGGAAACAAGAGTTTTAATCTCATATACTGCTACTAATTTAGTGGAGAGTTTTACACAAAAAAAGCAAGAAATTTCTACTATGCTAGGACAGCACAACTAGACGGGAGCACAAGTATTTGTAACCATAACTTGACCTTCAAAGGTCAAGATCAAAGGTCACAGAAAGGTTAAAGAAGGCAAGGAATTGAATTATTATTCTTTTTTTGTTTTTAGAAAGGTGATTTTGGAATTTATGGTGAAATTTGGAAGGGTAAAGACAGCATCTGAAAAGGAGGGAAGAGATCTGGAGTAAAATTTACATAAAGGAATTTGAACGTAGGAATATTCAAAAGAAATTATACATAATGGGAGTTAAATAAAAGAAATTTCCGTATATGGAAATAAGTTTGACTTAAAAAGACATGGAATAATTTCCAGCAAGGAGTTGAAGTGGGTTACAGAGGGCAAGTAGAAGTGACCCGTTATAAAGTGTTAATATCGGCTGAAATGTGACGCAGAGTTAACAAACCATCTACTGAAGCAAAACGGTACATGATCATGCCAGATATTTAAAGTCAGTCCAGGAAACTGACCAAGGGTCAGTTTCCTGGTACTGAGCATCGTACCCTAAATGTCTAGTAAAATGTCCTCAAAAATTATAACTAACTTCAGACTGGTTGTAATGTCACATATTCTTTTCATCTTCAGAATCATTTCAGGATGAAAAAACAAGATATATATATATATATGAAGGCTTAAAAATGTTCCAATTTACTATGAGGAAGGTAATTTTGAAAAATATCATTCTTAATAAATTTTGAAGACTGGACTAGACATGTACTTCACAAGACTAAGAAATAATCAACTTTTCATGGTATAGAATTATTTGATCAAAATTACGCAATCTTTCAAATCAAAAACTTCAAACTCTTGTACTTTTCCTAAAATACTTATCATATCCAAATAGTTTTGCTTCTTTTAATTGTTTCAATATACGAGATTTCATCCAAGAGTCTTTTGAAAATCAAATAAGCATGTTTCCTAATTAATAAAATAAAACTGCAGAAGGAAATTCAAATTTTATTTTCACTTTTCAATACTGAGTTCTAGAAAATTACAAATATCAATTTGAATCATTTGTAGTTGACTTCTTTTTAAGTTAAAGCAAGCTATTTTTTTTTTGTCCAAACGTTCAAATAGATCTACTTAATCATTGGTAGTGATTTCCTTCTGCTGTTTTTCTTATTAATTATTTTCTGGCACGAACATTGGTAGGAAAGGAACAAGATCAGTAAGGATACAGAAATTAAACGAAGGTGAAGCACTATCTTATTACAAAGGTATAGCACAACAGAAAAGAACGTCTAGCAATGCAAGTTGCACAGAATAAAAATAATATCTTTAAATAATAACAAAACTGTTTTTTCAATTCATTTTTTTCTGATATTTTTTAAGTATCAAGACAAAATATTGAAATAAAATGACTAAAATTAACTGATAATTCAAATGAAAAAATAAAACGGAAATGAAAAAATAATAAAATCTTCCAGATAGAGAACCAGGAGTCTAAACAGAAAATAAATTAGTGATACATTTTTTTTTGTTTCCATTAATTTAAAAATCAAATAATTTTTGTAGCAATATAAAGAATGCTATTTAAAACCAAATGTTAGAAAATTTAGTTAAAACAAAACCAAAAAAGCAGAAAAAAGTTCCAAAAAAGTGGAAAATCAAGCAAAAAAAATTGTCAGTTTGAACAATCATCAAAATAAGATAAAAAAAACTGTTAAATAATAAAAAGATCAAGCAGGAAAGTTTTGTTATAATAAATAAACAAAAAACTTTAAAGTAAAGACGATGAAGCGGAATTAGAGAGAGGTAGCTAATAGGAGTAGAAGAAACCCTACCAGAGCTTGAGCTTGAGCGGCAGTGGTGTTAGATCGTTGTTGGGTGGCTTTGATGAGAGCCTGGAGGTGTGCAGGTGGGTGGAAATATTTACACGAATCCCGTGTACACTTCCCTTTTACAAAGTCCATACAAACAGTGACCTGATTCTCGGACGTGTCGACTGTTACATTATCTGGAGGGTGTGCATAGCGACACTCACTAGGTTGTCGCGTGCATGTACCTCTCTGATACTCACGACAAACCTGAAAACAATCAGAGTATGACAGAAAAAAAGGGAAGAGGAAAAAAAAGAAAAAAAGGAAAGAAAAAAAAGAAAACAGAGCTAGCAACATTGATTTGTACAGAATAGAGGTGGAAAAATCATTATTGTGATCATTTATTAAAAGTTAGTAGATTAACATTGGTAATAGAAAATTCCTCCCGAAGAATCAGGATAAATATTAAACTACTCGAGTAATTATCACTGAATAGCCAATACAAGACAAAAACTGCGTTTACCTACAGTTCTATGGACTTTCTGAACATTTAGAATATACCATGTATCTGAAGGTAACTTTTATCTTCCTGGTTGTAAAAGAATTAAACAGTTACCATTAGTAGCTGATATTTAGTTTCTAAATAGATACAGTAAATAACTGCTGTGGAATTCAAACTATCTATGTTGCAGTTTGATGTTCTGGTTGAGAATCTGTGAATAGTTTCTGCTTGGATTAAGACCAGACCAGTACATAAAGATAATATCGACAGCATTCATTTCAGAACCATATTTACTCCATTTATTCTTTCTCAATCGTATTCTACTTAATGCTTCAAAGACTTCTACAATAAGCATGGAATTACCATAATTTTAATGGCAATAGGTCAGTGAAGTAACTTAACAAAAATATTGCAGTATCATGTTGAATATCAGCTACATTTTGCATCTGCTAAGACCAAAGCTTCCGAAAGTTCGGCAGTTTTCAAACCTACTTAATGAGATGTTGTACCAAAGACAGGAGTATCATTACATACTTTCTTAATGAACAAACAGTAATTACACGTTGTAATGCAATTTTGGCAGCGCGATCCAGTGCAGATGTAATCTGCTGCGTGCAGCATCTCTAATCACTGTCCATGCCATTGGGTTGTTAATACTATTCCTAACTAACTTTGCCTTCTGACGTTATCTCATCAAATGCATAAAGATTGATACAAAAACAAAGAAAAAAACAAAGAATAAACAAATATATAAATAGAAGCCTTTGATTTGTGATTTTCACTATCTTTCTCTGAAATAAGATGATTTGGATGAACGTGTGGCACAATTCAGCGTTGGTTTCACAATGGCCTCCACATGCAGCCTACAGAAAAACAACACGGTCATTATAAAATATCGGCAAGGACGGCAGGACAAATCTGTGTATATAAGAAGCTTTCAAGCCTCTAGACGACAGTGATCAGGCAATAATTCTGATTTTGGGAGCTGGTGTACAGTTGCCATGTAAATATAGAATATTAGGTTGCGTTGTACACTAATGAAAGCATCTAACATAATGTCGGCCAAGATCAGCTAGGCTTCCGACAACAGATCTGTCGATATTCAGCCTCACTCTGAAGCTAAATCTCACAATCAAAAATGAATGGGTTAGCATTCTTGGATTAAATTTTAATTTCATGTACACGTCACACATCATCAAATTGCATAAAAAATCCCAAAGAAAATTCCATGGCTAAAGCTGTCCAGCTTTTTTTTATTGTTGAGCTTTAGTTTCAATGGTATTGGCTGCATACAGATTTGCTGGCGACAACAGCTAGGTCTGGTAACCTGCTATATGAATTGTTGATATATATATATATATATAATAATATATATACAATTGCTGGGAAATTAATCATTCTTAGTATCTCCAGCATTTATTAACTTAATTAAAATTCTAATAAATCTGTAGAACATGATTAAGCAGATTACCATTCTGACCTTTGTTTTACATTAATATATACCAACTCATGACCAATTTCATTTCTAGAAATGGACAGATGGTAATCTGAAGTAGATTTCATTTCTACCAATGAAATTTGTCAAGCAGTAGCTATATAGACATGTGGAAGCTGTACTTGGACGACATACACTCATTATGTTGTGTCAAAAAAGCAGCACCCCTTCAAGCCTACTAAAAACTGTTCATAATACATACGTGGCTCAATTATCACTACTGCAAGTACTCGTGTAGCTAGTCTCTAATTATAAGCCTCACTTCCACATCTTTCTGAGTGATGAAAAATGTCAAGATTATTTATCATTCTCATTTTCTTTCCCCAAGTTCAAATAATAAACAAATTGAAATTAAAAAAAAAATATTAGCATTTTTACTCTTGAAATATATGTTAAATAACAGTTTATATTGTCAAGTGCAAAAGTGCTTCACATTGAAATGTTAATAGGTTACAATTGGGTTAGGAGGAGTTACTTCCCTTTGGTCATATGTTGATGCAGTCTTTGGCAGGGTTAAATGGGGTGCTGTATGTGTGTTGTCATTGAATGGTCATAGTTGGAAAAAGGGGAACTTTGGGAAATGGAGTTGGAAGGCATAACAATGTACAAATAAAACCTAAAAACTGTTTACTAAACAGAAACGAAAATTGTAAAAACTGTCAAAATGTGAAAAAAAAAAAAAAAAAAAATCTTAAACATATATTACAATGACGAATCACATGTGACACTTAATTTACATTAAAAGCTTTCTACATCTTGAAAGTTGAATAAAAGTGTTTCATTAAAGATGTAACATAATTTTAAAATTGAAACAAAAGTGCATTTTTTTCACAATACACACAATTGTAGTAAATGTCCACACATCAATGTGACAACAATCATCTCTAAATGAAATGCATAGAATATATCACAATTTAATTTTGAGGAATGTAAGCCACCTTATGACAGAAGTCCAAAACCATATGATACATTAATATGAAATTATACAGACTTATAACCCTGCAGCCTCTGAATCCACAGTAGACTGACTACTGACAGAGTCCACTGTAGTTGACAGGGGTGAGAGGGTTAGAAGAAGGCATTAGAAGTAGAAGTGTGTAGTACAGATAGAAATTTGTGAGTGAAAATGGAGCCAATCCTTTCACAAAAATATAAATGAGAGAAGGACAGAGGTTATTTGGTAAAAGTTTTTGGTTATATGGACACTAAAGCTCTTCCTACCTCTAATCTATCCGGCCGGGAAGATGCCAGCTTTTGTTGGGATGGAATCGCTTGGATGACTCCTTGGAGTGGGCTGGTTACCATGGTGGCATCCCCTCCTCCGGGCACTGCCACTGTCTGTACATTCCCTTGGTTTATGGTGGCATAAGGGTTGAAGGCCACGGACGTTGGTATTGATCCCAAGTATGGGTGTGCCTACAAAGGTCAAGGTCATCAGATAAGTAATCAAAGTCATAAAGACCATTTTGTTGTATATCTATAAATTTTCTCAAGCAAACCTTCTTAAATTCTTCTATAATAAATTAAAATATTTTTGCTTTCATTGTTTCTCTATCAAACTTGAAAATCACTGCCCCATATTTTAATGGTGCTATGATTATCTCCTGGTTATGTTTTGAGAACTACTATAAGATCGAGGTCTAGGTATATAAGTGGTCTCCCTTTGCTGTAAGATCGAGGTCTAGGTAAATAAGTGATCTCCCTTTGCTATATTGACACTTTTCTTCAATTTTTTCTAAATTCTACTAAGGCAGTGTTTAAAAAAAATCTCAGAAAGTTTTGCACAAATTCTCAAATGAAATCAAGTTGGTTCAAATTTTCCAGGGTAAAACCATCAATGGACAATCTTGAGAGTAAAAAATTTGCAAAAGTGAAAATTCCAAGAGTGATTATAATACATACTTATGAAATTCACTGCTAGAGTAGAGAATTTTGAAGTGTAAAATGAAAATGTAAAATTTTAAATGTAAATTATGTAATTATGAAATTCCAAGCGTAATATAGCCAATTTTGAATGTAAGAAAGCCTATACAAAATTTTGTGACTAGAATAACCAGTGGAAAAAGTTTAAGTGAAATCTCAAGTCTACAGAAGTTAAGGTGAAATATTGGGTGACCACGTACGCCAAAGAGAAATTTGAAAAAATTTAGATACATCATGAAAGCAAGTGTTGATCATTATCAAAGGCAAATATAAATATCATATATCAATATAGAGTGGTGAGAATACAAAATCATCACAGACTTGGTGACACTCAGAAAAATTATAAACGCTCTAAGCCAGTGGGGACAAGCCTTGGGTAGATGTACAAACAGATAAATATTATTTTTCCATGATTATAGTTTGAAAGGATATTTATAACCAACAGGGTTGAAAACATTTCAGAATTAAAAATGATAATTTAAGAGTCTTCCAGCTTTACTTATTGGGTGTTACTGACATCAACACACATGGCCACCAATAACAGCATCAATGTCCTGTACACAAGAAATACAGCCTTCAAACAATTTTATCAACGTCTTATACACTTTAATGCTGACGATTAACTGACATGGCTAAAGATGCTTTGTGAGAACACTTGAGTCTTTCGCTAATGATACTCAAGATTGTCCTGAAAAACAGCTGTATTCAAATGGTGCCTTTATTCATGTGGCTAAAGTATGCATTTTGCATTTTCACAGTTACGTAATGACAGACTTAACTGTGCAGCTGTTCCTCTACAAACACTGAAGAGGTCAGTAAAGGGAGACAAAAACATTACCAATCTGATGCTTCAGGATATAAATATTGTCTTCCACAAATTTAAACTTTTTCCACAAGAAAGAGATTTTGTAAGTATTTAAATTTTTTTGTTGTTTGTTGAGGAAAGGCATGAAGATCTTAATGCACAACATATGTACCAACAGAAGATCATCTAAGAGTTTCCAAGTTTTGTACACAAACTTGTAAAGACATGTTTAAAAATAAACAAATGAAATTGGAAAGATTCTTTATCATTATTGCTTCAACAATCAATCAGCCCCCTTCTGAGTACAAAATTTGGATAAGAAAATAAACTTGGTCATAATCATATGAAAATAGAGCATGTTATGTAATCATATGTTGGAGATATGTCTAGACAGTATAATATTCTGAGTCATGCCCAGGCAGAATTATGTCCAGATAGAGTAATGCTCAGAGTCATGCCCAGGCAGAATTATGTCCAGATAGAGTAATGATCAGAGTCATGCCCAGGCAGAATTATGTCCAGATAGAGTAATGATCAGAGTCATGCCCAGGCAAAATTATGTCCAGAGAGAGTAATGCTCAGAGTCATGCCCAGGCAGAATTATGTCCAAATAGAGTAATTTTCTAAGTCATGCCCAGGCAGAATTATGTCCAGATAGAGTAATGCTCTGAGTCATGCCCAGGCAGAAATAAGTCCAGATAGAGCAGTGCTCAGAGTCATGTCCAGGCAGAATTATGTCCAGATAGAGTAATGCTAAGGGTCATGCCCAGGCAAAATTATGTCCAGAGAGAGTAATTTTCTGAGTCATGCCCAGGCAGAATTATGTCCAGATAGAGTAATGCTCAGTCATGCCCACGTAGAATTATGTCCAGATAGAATAATGCTCAGAGTCATGCCCAGGAGGATGAAAAATTTTAACCTGGATAAAGTATTAATAAAGCAGCTAGGTACTCAAGATGGCACACTGATCTCCAGTACATTTTACAAGACAAACATGAAGACAAAATATGCTTTGTACCATTCAACTTATATCAGCTTTATTGCTACTGTTTCCTGTTTTTTTAAATTCAAATTTGAAATTTACCTCCATAATGTTAATTTATCCTGTTTGTGACCCACACCTACTGAACAATATTGTGTTAATTATACAATATAAATAAAAAAAGATCCTATTTCAAGGAGAAACAATAACTATTTTCCATTCTAAAACAGTTAATGAGATTTCTGAAATGTTGGGAAGTGAGATCCTCCCATGAATTCCTGTGATACACATGGATTTTGTGATGTAATATAGCGATGATTAATGTTACCTTTTAATAAATAAATCAATTTTGGATCAATTAATTTTTTTTCTTTTAACTATTTATCTAAAATTCCTTTTTAATCAATAATGATGTCATAAAGAATTTTAAAAATTTAAATCAATTCTATCTTTTTCCAACTTCTGAAAAATATTTTTTTACCTAATTCTGTTCATATTAAACATGCATCTCAGATAAGTTGAAAATTTGAAAAAGTTATTTTATCAAATTAAAAACATGAACAAAGACATTTTTCATAACAAAATATAAAAAAAAGACATCTAGAAAGCTGTAGGGAATGATGACTGGCTATATGACATTAGCCGTGAGCGTTGGGAGAGAGACAGGTGCTTCGGGCATGTTAATTACCTTTTATCAGTGTTTCTCTCTCATTCTTCTTCACAGACGTGATTTATAGGACGCAGATCTTATCATTTCTATATGCACACATAATGACTATGTCGCAGAGAAGAACTTTTTAGACATCCCTGATTTTAATGATCTCAATAACTCTACATCCGAGAGAGAATCATGACAGGTCTGCCTAGTTCCCCGGCTGGCCCTCTGATAACACCAGAATTCATATTCCTCAATAGCTCTGCTAACCAATCACAGATTGCAAGTATTCTGTAATTGTGGTCTAAATTTTATTTCATTTGATTTCTGTTCTAATTTTCAACAACTAGAAGGAATGGCTTGTAAAGTTTACTGTAATGTTTTTAAAAAAAAACGGCTAGAAATTGATTAAGTTATCACTAAAATTTATTTTATATCGATTCAAAATTATTTTTCATGTAGTATTATTAGAGTAGTATATATCTCTCTGCAGTTCACATTTATTTTCTTTTTCCAGTTTTCAACACAATTGACTAATTAAGTGCTAAGTGGAAATTGAAAGGATTTTGTGATAAGGTGGCAAATGTATCACAATGATTTTGGGTTTAAGTGGAAATAGAGATGATCTGAATGAGACAGACAAACACATTAAGATCTCAACCAAATAAACAATCTGAAATCTATTCAAATTTCAACTTTGGGTCAGATTACATGAAAAAAAAATAAGAGTAAATTTAATCCATTAAGATTCCTATCAGTCAGAAACTTGTTAATCTTTAGGTTTGCCTAATGATCTCACTTTCAAATGAATCTCATTCAGACTGATGTTAGAGATGGTCGAGATAGAGGGAGACCAGAGGACAATCCAATCCTAGGAGCAGGACGAGGCGGGACAAAAGCTGGATCAGTGAGCTAATGCCATTAGTTCTAAGCTAGGATAGAGAGGTCGTATCAGTACATTTAGGTCATGTACAAGAGACGTATGTCGTAGGATATGCTTTCAGGATATACATTTTAAAAACTATACACTTTGTACAATTCAAAAATTAGTTCATGAGACAGGTCCTACATGAAGAAATTATACCATAAAGCAAACTGCTTTATACTCAACGCTCATAATTTTATATTTATCTGTTTTTCTATAGTGTTTCTCTGGAGTAAAAAGATGGACATAACACAAAATGGCATGAAAGGGTTCAATTAATGATAAAAAGAATTTAAAAAGCAGTTGTTGAATAAAAACTGTAATTGTTTACAGTGTATCAGACAAGTTAACAAGAGTAGGAAGTGTGCAGGTCACATGTGAATGAAACCATCTCCTCCATCTCTCTGATGACCAGTCAAGTTAAATGGAATAATACTACTAGATTTAGCCTCCCATCAGATTTCTAACACAGACTCACACATAAAAAACATTTGTTGTACAATATTGGCATCAAATCAATTCATCGTGAATGAGCCGTGTCAACATTTAGATGTAATGCCTTGATTCCTGGCCTAATGACTGCCATACTAATCATAGAACTGATTCTGCCCCAGCAGCCCCTATGTTTCATGTGGCTTTGTCACACAAAAATCTCTACAAATACATCTACTGCATTGTTTGCCATTTCAATGATTTCTAATTAGAAATTCTCTGACATTGTTCAGTGATACAAACACAATGATCACTGACCCATAACATTTATCGATTCCGAGGACTCCTTCTCTACAACATCCTGTTGCCCTATTAAAAGTCTTAATTTTAGTTATTACACTTGAATAAATTAAATTTTAATTTGAAAATAATTTCTGTCGAAATCAGATAGATATACAATGATATTATTTGAATTAATGAAAGTATTTTACAGGGCCAGCATTATATACAGTAATTTATTTTTCAACAGTACCAGACATGTGCTTTATGCTACACAAGTTACCCTGATTCCCCCATCTATGATGAGGAGCCCATTGCCTTGTACTGAGTATTACAATTAGTTTTCCTACGTCCATCGCACATCAAAGGTAATATGGTATTCAATGGAGAAATACCTGTAATTAGTAACCCATACACTGCCTGGTCAGATAATTAATGAGTTCTAAAGACATTGTCACTGACCCAAAACAACACAGAACAGGTGCTGCAGATGTTTTTAGCCTTCAAGCAGGTTGATAATGTATGGAACGCTAACTGTTTTAATTACTCAGAGGTTTCCTCCTGTCCCAAGCAATCACTGAGATCAATCAGTAGTGGTAGCTAGTCACTGTTACCAGGAACTATGCCAACTCTGAGCTGGAGCCAGCAGCATTGGTAGATAAAAACTAAATACCAACACAATGACAAGGCATGGCATTACAACAGACAACGACAATCAGTGTACTATCATATTTCCATGACTACAAATGTCAATGGCAATTTACAGCAACATAAATGTCACAGCTCCTACTGCCAAGAAGGCACATTCTATTCATCATTAATTGGTTATTATTGAAAGTGTAAACCATTTCCAACTGTAAAGGTTTAGAAAAATTCATTATTTGTTAGAAATTGTTGTTTTCTTGCCTTTTTTTTTCTTTTTTAATTTTTTAAGAAATGAAAACATTTCAAAAGTATTTTCTTCCAGTAATATTTCTGATATTTAGTAGTACAATGATTTAGTCCTCAAAAATCAAAGAGCTTCAGGGTTTAAATGGTGTGTAAAAATTCAGTATGTATATTTCTTGTATATAGAATGTAACACTGGTCAAAGCTTGAAGTCCGATTCCCATTGACTCATTTCACATTCACGGCAAAAACTAGGTGTCCTTTGGTTCTCAGAATTATATGTAAGTAAATGTTGACTGAACTTTTTGTATAACTGATAGAAATAACCTTTAAACTTTATCATTATTTCTTTTTCAACAACATGGATTTCATCCTATCAACACTTAAGCTGTAATACTACTAACACCTTACATGTAAACCTTGCTGTAGTCATATAGGGCTATTGCTTCTATTGTGGTGGTAAATTGTCAAAACCTGACAAAATTGTACAAATAAAAAGCTTGATTTTGTGACATTCATCTTCATTTGATGAAACTATTCATTAGTAAATGGTTTAAACATGAATAATTAATACGAAAAAGAGAGCATGTCCATATCATGTAGTTAATAACTTCCTACTGTTCAATTATTTACAAGAACCGTTTCAAAGAATGTATTGTATCACCTTGTAATATGTTTATTATCACCTATCACTAGCCAGTGGAGGACCCATTTTACTTCCACTGGGAGTTAGTCAGCGTTTTTATCACTAAAATGTACAGTTATATCATCCTTTTTTTCTTTTTAATATTTTGTTAATGACTGAAATGTATACGGCTAGAGTGAAAGTAAAATTTCAATGAATTACAGATCGTTGGAGTTTGAGAAGAATTCTAGAGTAGAATCAACTGGTTTCACTTCCTGCTGCCAGGATAAATCTACATACAGAAAAACTAAATGCTGCAGTACTTCAGGTGGGATCAGAAATTTTTCACTTAGCTGTATTTAACTCACATTTATTGGTGAAAATTCATCACAAAACTTCACACATGTTTACACACTATTTCTAGGTATTTTTACAAGTTTTTTATACAGAAAATTACACTTTTTTGAGACATCTATGTAACTGTTTTAAATATTAGTCAAAATATACTACAGAGTAAGGGAGATCCTCTCTTTAGCTTGATTGGTTGAGTGTTAGGCTAGTAAGCCTAAGGTCACGGGCGCAAATCCTAGTAGAGACATTGAAATAGAATGACCCCTACTGAATTGGTGCACATGTAGGGACCTAGGAATGATAATAACAAAAAACATGTTGGTAGACAAAACTATTCACAATAAAATATCATGGCCTAGGCATACTGTATGTGTCATCAACAGAAAAACTGTTGTCAACGCCAACACCATGGCAACCCTAAAGTAAAAGGCATCCCAGTAGCATGTAACTGATCATTCCGATGGCTTTTAAATACAAATGACATGTGTAATTAATCTACTCACATCTAAATTCAGTTAAAGGCTATGTTAGCTACTTAAGCAATTTAGTTAAATTACAAAATAGATTCGTATGCGGGTTAAATGTTTAATGATCAAATTACACTTGATAGTGCGTTCCTCAGTTCTCTAGTGAAATCCCGATCCTATACTGCCATACATATCTATTAATATAGCAACCATTAGGAATAATTTTATGGGGCTTTGTGGCCATGTACAGGTTTATAATATTCAAGATCAATGGTAATGATTAAAGACCGGGAACCTTTGCATTCAACTGGTTTAAAGAATATTGCCTATTAAACAGTTGAATTAAGTTTTCACTAACACAGTACTGATGTTAGACCCCTCAATTCAGTTGTCATGCTTGCCTTCTTCATGAAGGCCTAGACTTATCAGAATGTCATGAACTTTTAGTATCTAAGAAAGTAGCATTACTTTCATAGTGGATTATTCAGCTTATTAAGGAGAGTATATGGTATACCATTTCATGAAGGACTGAATAATCAAAGTATCCTGCCCAAAAAGCATTCCATTCTTGCTGGGAATTTAATTTGGTTTTAACAACAAAAGCTCAAATTCCATCTTTGCTGAAAATTTCAAATTCAACCAAAGAAGGCAATAATTCAATCTTTGCTGCAACTTTTTTTTTTTTTAATAACCCATAAAGGCAACCATTAAACTTTTTCTAGGATTGTTCTACTAAAGCAAGCAGTCATTCCATTTTCACTTTATTAGGTAGGAAGTTAGGTTAGGTCTACCTAACAACCAATCATTTCATCCTCAATGGGACATGTAAGGCTCTATCAGACCTAAGTACATAATGACCGTGGAGATTTTGGTAGGTGTATCACATCATACCTGCTGTTCCACATTCCAAATGACACACATTTAAAACTCTTCATGGAACTTACCTTTAAGTGGAAGGTACAATTGTATTTCAGCATGAGAACCATTGAAGTATAAAGTCAGACCACTAGTTATTGTAAAGGTGGAAGACTCTTTTCTAATAATTGTATTTCATGAAAAAAAAATCAATGATACAACAGAATGACTGAAAACAAGAAAGAGAACATTAATATTTTGCACAAAGCAATGATTGTTCATTATTACAATATTTCAAAATTCACTCCACAAAATTTTAATATTTTTCCATAAAGCAAATAATTAATAAAAAAGGAAGGTAAATAAAAGTACTACCCAAGCCCTGAAGGTGATGCAGACGAGCTAGTGTTAAAGCAATGTAAGCTTAGGGGGAGCACAAGCATGTCGAATCTATATAGCTATTTATCACTACAATGCTCTGGGCGTGGAACAAAGACGCAGGAAAATACCTCGTAAACCATTATCTGGCCATTGGAACAAATACACAGGTTATATATTTGGCTGAACCACTTGCTCTCAGCTTCGAAAAAATTAAAGATACAAGATACTATTAAACATTATACACTCTAGTTCCTGAATAAACAACAATCTGTGGAAGGCCAACTCAAGTAAGAAACAAAATCTAGCCTCAATGACCATCAGCTGTCCTGTGCAGTGTGAAATGACTAATGGTACAGAGCTGTCATGCCAAACTAGAAAAGGATGTACAGGGAAAAACTGCCATGCCAAACCTGACTCCACATGCATATTCTAGTGACAAGTTATCAACACCTCTTATTGTCAACTGAGAACAATCTGTAGGAAATAAAACATCAACACAAACATTACTTTTATAAGTTTGATGAACAATACAATGAAATGTAAACTGATAGAATTATTCTACAATAGATCAAGATTAAAATGCAATCCTTACTACAGAGGTGACAATTCCATCTATAGATGTCATCATCACAGGCGCCAGATCACAGAAACCATTGTCACAAAACTTGTTGTAAAACTCTAAACAAACTTTCATTAATCATTTTATACATCTATGTACCAGATTTAATGTCCATACAGAACCTTGGGAACAGCTGATATCCTTTACAATATACTTTGATACACTTTAAACTCTCTCACAGGTGTTTTGTAAGGCGTCAAGTTAATTGTTTTCATTCAATCAAACAACTAAAATTCAGAGACGGATGGACGAGTGCACATCTCGTCTGAGACTAAATATTCTAACACCAAGAATCAACCATGTATTCCTTAAACTTCATCTCCAAAATGTTTAGAAGTCCCAAACCTTTAAGATGAAGACTTAAACTGTAGAACCAGGATTTGTATCATAATCAGTCATTGTACTTCCAAACATCAATGAGACTTTGAACCCTGTCATCTGATATCTTTAACAGTGACCATTTTTCTACAAGAAGGTTAACCCTACAACTTGGTTGCCCCTAGCGACAGTTTGTTCCACGCCTCATGTTATTGGTCGACCACTAACCACAATTGGGAACTGTCCTGGTACAACTGTGGGATATGCCGCCACGGTCGGCTTGTTGCTGCTCGCAGTCTCATACAACAAAAATAAAACATGCAAACAAATTAGTATCAGTCTCAAACAGTGGTGCACAAACAACCAATCAAATGCTTTGTTAGAAACTTAAAAATGTAAAGAAAATGTAAATAGAAAAACCAGCGCCATCTAGCAAGAAAAAACAGTCTAAGATAGGAGATTTGTCTTTCCTACAGAAATATCTTGGGTATATGTGATATAATTTTTAGTATCAGAGAGAAAAGATGCAATGTTTTTTTTTTACTGAGGTGCTTTGCCATAGATTACTGATATAAATTGATTCACAATGGACTGTACATTTGTCCTTGGTAGTAGTTGGTTCATCCAACTCCAATGTTCTTGTGCTACTTACAAGTAAGTATACTAACATTGAACTTGATATTTATATCATCTGACTTGTAAAACTTCAATTCTGGTGAAACTTTCTTTTAACAAACAAAGCAATGTATGAAGTTATCCAGAAAAAATGAAGGAATATCAGTAATCTACAGCAGTTGAGTAGTGTTTCTTCATCCTTGATACAATGTTTATCAGAGATCGTCATGTATGTATTGTATGATGAGTAAGCTTTTTTTCTAAATTGAAATCTTTGTCCATCACATTTCTGAATATTAGTTTAATAATTGAATAATAATTTTGATTATTTATTTTCATGTTTTCTTTTTTCAAAAAAAGAAACTGTATATCCGTAATTTTATAAGGTTTAAAACATAAGATTTAAAATGAATTGTTGATAGGTTTGCTGGTAAAGAAAGAGTCTGGTAACAATGGGCGACAGGTGAGGAGAGGAGGACGGTGTGAATAACTTCAGGACTGAATAAAGATGATCGAATACGTTAACTATCTTTACAAAACAGGTTTAGCTATAGCCGTCAAACGCACATAAAACCTGGAGGAGGATTTCATGCTGACTTCAAAATAATTCATGGAGACGTTTTCCACATTTAATCTCTATTCACAGGGTGATATTAAAAATCTATAAAGAAAACTGAGTTTTTAATCCAGAGATTGAATTTCAAAGATAATATTTCAATTTGAATTCTTTTTAAAATAGAAAGTTGCCAGCCAGACCTTCACTGAGTGCCAGCCATTTGTGATATTCTTGTGTAATAACGACATAGTTTTGTATACATTGGTCATAAAGTATTCAACAGACGCTGAGTAAATCTTTAAATCAGTGAATCTGAGGGACATTGATTCACAGGATAAATCTTACTAACAGTTTTCAGTAAAAATTTCTTTTTATCTCTATAATGAGACATGTTGAGATAGAATTTATATATATTGTATTGGCATGGATATGTACAATTATGTTTGTACATATAAAACCATCATTATATTGACACCTCTCTATTGGTCCTTATGTATGGTTATTATCTAAAATGGATAATTCTGAAAACTCTAAAGAAACATACTAGGTAATGTACACATTGTAGGTACAAAACTAGAGTAAACAACTAGTATATTCATTAATGGAGACACTATCTGAATCTTAATGTGTTTGTTCACATCAATGTGTGATATCAAAATTATATAAGCTTTGCCTGATGGAATTTACATTTTTATAAATTTTCAATAAAATTTTCTTGAAGTTGAAATGGCTAGTATGTTACTTGATGGCTATGAGATAAATCAGTGTTAATACAGATTGTTGTGATAAATACCGAGCATTACATAGCCACTAATTCCTAAGTCAATTTGTTACAGAATTTTGATGGTAAACCCTGAACTAACATGTTAAGAATACAGATTAGTCATCAGACCACAGAACAAGGAAAACAACAATTTTCAAATGTGGACATTTTAACTTTTTTTTTCATCATAGCTATAAGAAATTACCAAACAATGCTTAGATCTGTCCTAATATTTGTTATATCCCTTTGATCTGTGTTTACATAATGAAAAACAGCATGTATACTTAATTTATAATGTTAATTAATAACAGCTATTTTAGATATGACATTTGATCTCTTTATAAAATCAACCGGCAATCATCCTATATTTAACTGTATCTTGTTTCATCACTTCTTCAGAACGAGAGCTAAAAATCTGTTTTCAATTTTGATCAGCCAACCGATGAAATGGATCATTCTCGGCACATTACCTAGTGTAAACACAGTGGAAATTTTAAACTCCTCCCCAGGTAAAGCTAGACTGTTCCTAAATTATTTATAGTTTTGTTTATAGGTTTTGCCACCATCTTCCTACCTTCAAACTGTATAGTGGTACCAGAGTAAGAATCCTCAAGACTCACTTTTACTTTCACTTTCTTATTTAAAATCATTACAAATTCAAAGTTCTGCTCTCACAGTTTCGTTTTTTTTTCATTTTTTTCTGTAACTGTTATTATATATGACAGATTTCAGTGTACAATTTGATATGGTTACATTTGACTTGTGTTGCTGTGTTTTAAAGATTTTTTACTGAGAAACTTTATGTTTAACAAACACTATGAAATAGGAATATGTTTCTCTAATTTTGGTTTGGAAGAACAGATGGAGATGGGGTAACTGCCTAATTCTTACACAGGCATAAGCCGAGCTCCCTTTGACAGACACATCATATGACACATTCATGTAAGGGCAGGTCCATTACAGAAGGCAATAGTTTTCAAATATCCCTTATGATTTTCTGTTATGACTTTCTCCTCCAAATCTGTCTCCATTGATACCATCCAATAGGCCCATGCATTGTAGTGCTGGTAGCTGTAGCCAGTCGAACACTCACTCCGACTAGCCAATGGGTCTTTAGTTAGATTTCTCTCCACACTTGTGTCTCCAAATTGGTTTTGAAGTGTAGGATGATGGAATTAAAGAGTCGTTGTAAACCTTATATGGTGTTGGTTTAAACACCTCCTAGACACTGTACTGTAATTGGAGATATATATGGCCAGTTTCCGTTAGTTACAGACCATCATTAGTGGAGTTTAAATTAATTAGTACAGATTGATTTAACACAATTGGATTATGTCACAACTACTATGGGGGATGTGATGGCTTTAGGATACAGGTGATTTTTACTGCTACTTTCAAATGTGTGTAAAATCTTCAGAAGGTAAATTTTTCTGGTGTGAACAATCTTTTCCAATACCATGGAGAATTATTTGACTATACGACTTATCAATTTGACTATACGACTTATCAAAGAAATGAAGAATATCTCGAAGTATTTATTTCTGGTTCGATACAGATTTCATTTTTTTTATTTCTTTTATGAATAACATTTGAAAAAAACTTCAATCAGAAATGTGATTTGCGGATGTTTGATCAGAGATCTGTGAAAATATGGAGTGACATGTGGTCTGTTGTATAGGAAGAACAGAAGACAGAGACAAAAGGATGAAAGGATGTGTTATACCATATATGGAGAAGAGATAGAGTAACAGCAACCCTACTACATGTTATATATAATTACAATAACATACAAACTACTAAACCAAAAATAAAGCTTGGTTTCCGGTCACCAAGTACCAAAATATTCTGTAGTTAGTTTTAACGAGTCACAAGTAAAGCTTATAATAAATACTGGTCATAGCTCCAAAAAAACCAAAATTATAAAATTATAAAAATTCAAATCAGCCTCTTCCTAGTCTAATATTAAGGCAAAATCTCAGCAAAAACATTATACAGCTGTAAGCTGAAAAAATAACATAAGCCTGTAAGCAGATACACATATGAGATAGCATCTGAAAATTTGGCATTGAAAAGACTTTGTGACAGCAGAGGTTGTCTTCAAGAGGTTCGTTGTGAGGTTACATGTTCTAACAATGCAAAACTTTGTTCTCTTTTAATGGTAAAATCTGAAAACTTTTACGAAATGAATAAAAAAATACTTAAAACCTTTTAAATATATTCCATCTTTATATTAGAATGGCTCCAATAAGTAAATAAAATGCATCAGTAATGTAACTGTCATAAAATGACTTTTAAATGTTCTTTAGAAGCAGTGATGCCAACCAGACAAATATCATCAAGGGAAAATAAGTAGTCCTTAAGATGTCTGGAGTTATCTCCCCTTTCTGAGAGCTCTCTGAAGACAACCATTCAAAAAATAGCTTTCATTCATCAGTTGATGAGCTTCATTACTTTGCATAAATACAAACTGCCATGTTCAATAGCAAAGAACAAAAACATAGCGAACACTTAGGACGATGCTACAGGCCAGCAGTGACACTTACCATGGTCTGGATGGGCATTAGGGGCTGCAGAGCTGCTTGTTGTGCAGCCTGCATCTGAAGATTACGTAATATCAGGTTGTTTCTGCCATTCTGTAACAACTGTTCCCGTAGGTGTTGTGGAGGATGTAGATATTTACACGGAGGGTCTTTTCTCTGACATTTACCCTGAAAAACACAAAAATACACACACATTAAAAATAATCACCAAAATATACAAGTCTTTCTGAACCTGACAAAATGGAACTTCTGAGAAATCAAGAAGGATTCAAACACATTAATTAGGAGGTTTAGGACTTGACACTTAAAAGTCTTAAATGTACTTCACTTTGATAACTTAAAAAAACTGATTTCAGCATTTGGTAAATTATTAATACAAAGGTAAAAAATTTCATGACGAGTGCGTTTATGTATATATGTACACGAGTGCATTTATGTATATATGTACACGAGTGCGTTTATGTATATATGTACACAAGTGTGTTCTGAAATTCTTTTTATTCCAAATTAACAATTACTCATTGTAAAAAAAAAACTAAAAAAAAAAAAAAAAATCCAACTTCGTGGTAGGGAAAAAAGACTTGAGTTACCAACTATAAATATTGGTGAAGAACAATTAAGACTTTTGTTAAGGGAAAAGTTTGTAAAAGTTTTCACATATCTGAGAGAACACAATTGATACACAACATCCTTGTTTCTAAGAACAGGGGCACTTTGTCCATTATTTCTTCCATGTGACCTGTTTTCCCATTGATAAAACCATACTGTGATTGATTTTCTGCCATATTTAGATGACTTGTCTATTTCCAGCTGTACAAACTGCTTTGACCAGATCCACGATAACTACACCACTCAGATCCTATCTCAGAGCTCAACATAAAATTTCTTTTTTTGTTGATAACCACGTTATTGTAATCAAGAAGTTGTTATCATCATATCTATAATTGAGCTGGCTATACACTTTTTGAAAAGGTAATATGATCCTTTGTAATTATTGGAAGGAAAATTAAATACTATACTAGAATGGTTCTTTTCAAATATACATGTACAGTGAAACTGAAAAATGACCACATAAGACTGATTTTTCTTTTGCATTGAAAAACTAGACAAAATCATGTTTTAATTTTAGTTTAATTAATTTCTATCAAAATGAAACATAAACTCTATTACTTATCACCAAGGTGTTAAGAATTGATATCAAGAAATTGAATATATGTTTTAATTTTCCAGGCATGTGTTCTTTCATGTACACCTCAAAATTCACAACATAACTGTTATTACAAAACACTTAGATGACTATGATGTTTTATGAAAAAATCATTTTCTAGCTACAGGCATTCAATCTTCACATTCACTATTCGATTACAATGATAATAGTGACATTATATGATTGATACATGTTCCGTTATCTGAAAATTCTTTCAGCAAATCACAACACATGTTCTGGTTCACCAACATCAAAAGCTTCCATTTTCTACAATAGGACATTCAGTGTTGCCTATCACTGGCTTGTACAATTAATCCTTGACATTCTGTCCCAACTTTACGCCTGTTTTGTTTTAATTCGGAGATCACAACACTTTGGTTACAACATTATGTAACCTCTAAGGACACCTCAAATCTGTAGCAAAGATCAGATTGACCAAACATCAAGGGAAAGCCAACCATTTACATCAATAATGCATCTGATATAACACAGAACTTTATTTGTTTTAGCTGTAAAAATGTCAGCATTTGTGATGAGTTAGACAGGCCCATATTTGTGATGGATAAATTTGGCCCCCTTATACACACAAATAATGCCCATCACTCAGAAACGGGGAGAAAATATACCTTCTTATATTATTAAATTGGTGCTGTTCTGACGGGAGCCATCAGTATAAAACAGTTGGATAAGACAAATTTTTTTCTCACCCAGTTATTTGCTGAAGTGCTACCCTGTAATTGACAACAACATTATCGCCACTGTCTCCACAAATCGTCACCACAACGATATGTTAGGTAGGCTTTAACTCCGTATAGATACACCTCATCCCCTTATAAGGAGATTTCTTTGTCTGTCTAGACTCACTGACCTTTTGACCCTTGATAACGTTCTCAGTGACATCATTATTCACTTGCAGTTTATATACACCATTCCTTTTCTACAGAACCTAGTGCTTCACAACTTCTATCTCCTTATTCAAGTTTGACTGAAAAAGAGTGTGATGTATTTATCAAGGCACACATCCTATTTTATTTGCAACCAGCCTGACAATGTCTTGATTTGGCAGAAATGGAGTAAACAGTGAGTTTCCAACAGAGATTTGAAACAAACTAATGGCCCACCAAGAGATTTAAGACACATATAAACGAGCAATTGTTGTTTTCCTAAATCCGTACTACAATATATTTTTGTTGAATTCCTTAAATACATGCTTGATCTTAGACCTATTTTGAGTTTTTTTAAGACTTGAACTGATCATTGAAAAGTTTCTACCAAAATAGTAAAGATTTTTTTTTAATTTTCAGATATATCACATGCAGTTTAAAGTATACCAGTATTATTGAGATTTACAAGGTGACAGTTCAATACATTTCACAAAGATCACTGTTCACTCTCCAAATCACGACCTTGAGACAGTTGTAGTGTCTTTTAAATACAGTGAAAGTCAGAATGGTTTGTTACCATGTCATCAAACATGTACCTCACCTTGTCGTCAGTGACAGCTTCAATTGTAACTTTTGTCGAAGGCAACTGTTTTCAGGATTAAAATTGAATGTAGAAACTGCCATTCATTTTTATTTAGGTCCAGAAACAAAACAATTACAGAGCTGATGTTGCTTGTTTTAAAGACCCCTATTATTTATTAGCGATGCACAATGTTGCATCACCAGACTGTACAGGAGTACCTATTTAATAACGGCCCGCATTGCTGCCATGGCATGATTACAATCAATAGACAGACATGGTGACAGCCAGTCCTGTCTAGGCCCTATGGTAATCATGTGCTGTTTTTTTTAAGATTCCGCCAATTTCATCTCCCAACACTGACTAAAAACACATCCCTGTGAGTGTGTGACTGGAATAGAGTGAAGTTGTTTTTATTACACCATTAAATGGCAAAACAACATACAAGTTTTTAATTCCTTTACCGTTTCCGATTCCATTTCCAATAGTGACCAACGAAAATTGTGTAAACCGAACAGGAAAAGACTATTATACAGACCTGGAAATAAGAGGAAGAGATTACTCTGAAATTGATCAGCAAAATGTAAAAGAGAATAAGAGATTAAGCCAGAAATGTGGCGCCAACACATAGTTACACACATTGAGGCTGCACAGATTGTTTGATAATATCTTTATTCTGTTTATCTGAACTTTAATTAAATTCTGTAAAGTGCTAGCATAAAATAACATCCTTGAAACTTTAATTGGCTTTATAAAACAGTCTACATTTTAATTTGAAAAACTGAAATCTTGGTTGTTGAAATGTTTGATAAATCCTGATCATTTATATGTTTGACAGGTGCTTTGCTATGTTCTGCACTTGACAGGTTTGCTACAGGTAAAAAAAAACCATCTACTTATAATTCACAGCAGGACTTATTTTTCAACATTTGCACAAATCATCTGGCACTTTTGAACAGACTGAATTATATAAAGAACAGTTTTGATAGAGATATCAGTATGCACGATATATACACAACATTAATTTTTTTCCTAATTTCAATAAGTAGTCAATTTAAAAAGGGAAATTTTAAACTCAACAATTATATTGATGACAGTTTTCACAATAACAGACTTTAGACGACCAGCCGACCTTTACCTTCAAACATGTGTTACCAGACTTCATGCCTCATAAATTCCAACCAAGGCACTTCTTTTTTAAGTGTGCACCATGATATACAATTTATAAACTATCAGATGCAATGACTGGATGGAATACTAATGTTAAAGTGGCCATGTTATGTTACATGTAACTTCTATTCATTCCTTCAAGGCTATCTATTTTAATCTTCCTCATCATAATGTTTATACACCCTGACAATAGTTACATGAGTGATTTCAAATTCAGACAGGCATAACTTACACACATGTAATATATACAACAGACAAAAACGGCTGTCCTCACATGGTACATTTCATAAATTAGATTTAAAATTTTTTGAAATGTTGATAAGGATCTGGCAAAGAAAAGGTCTTAAGGGTGACAATCAACACTCCCAATGGCTGTCACTAATAAAGTAACATTGTATGGTGGACATTTGCCTTGAAAAAATGTGACACTTCCAATGTTAAACACCTTTCATGGCAGATGTTTGTTGTGAAAATGTGACATTCGCCATGTCAGACACCTTTCATGGTAGATGTTTGCCGTGAAAATGTGACACTTCCCATGTAAAATACCTTTCATGGTAGATGTTTGTCGTGAAAATGTGACGCTTGCCATGTCAGACACCTTTCATGGCAGATTTTTGCCATGAAAATGTGACACTCACCATGGTTGACAATTTTTGATGGTTGATGGTAAACAATAATTACTAGAACACTTTCACCTTGACACGCCTTTGACAGACTCTGAACCTCTAACAGGATTCATTCCAGTAGAAATCACCATGGTGATTATTCATGCTTTTCATCTGAACTATTTTTTTTCACTTTAATTAAAACAAACTGAGAGGAATCTAAGATGTTATTTCATATGTACATGGCTTCTTCAGTAAAACCACAATCCCTGACAAGTTGCACATCTATCACTGTACCTAATTAACATTTAGACATCACCATTACAATTTATCTTCAAAATTTGTTTCTTTGGTTGTAATTTAATATATGAATCTTGAAATGCCAATCTTGATTCTTTTTCCTTTTTTACCTGTTCAGTGCCAGGCTATCCTGTAGCAGCATTTGTCAGTTAAGCTATGCCATCCTTATAAGGACTGGAGGATATTAATACTACTTCTTTTAGCTATTTCGTTTGTAACAGGAAGCCATACAGAAATGTTTTTAAGATGAGAATAAAACCGTGTTCGACATTCAGGGACTTGGGACAAAATGAGTGGAACAATCAATAAGCACTGTCTGTATATCTTCATCCAACAAGTGATTTCCTGGCCCAATCTGAGTCAGAGGAAAGCTTTGAATGTGACAGAATCACACAAAGGCTTCCAATATCACAACCTGC